TTCAATGCTTATCGCAGGAGCCTGCGGGCCGCCGCGGGCGACAGTAGTTGTCCGCGGCCCTTTAGGGCCGCGGGGAAGTGGTGGAGCCCGCGGCGGCCCGCAGGCTCCTGCGATAAGCTTTGAATGCGAATCCGGAAGCCCCCGATGACCCAGATACCTTCCTTGCCAGGGGGCCAGTTTCTCACGCAGGGGGCTTGAAGAAGAAGGAGGGGGACTGTAATCAAAAATAAATAGCGCCAAAGCGCGGCCCGCAGGGCCGCGCTTTCGCCGCGCGGCTGGTTAGGCTTTCGCGCTGGTTAGAATTTCGCGCACGCATTTGGTTACCAATATCGCCCTCCGGGCGCGACCTTCATAGAAGGACTTCAAACGATCGGGAAAGCGTTTGCTGATAACAAGAAGATTGCGCATTTACTCGCTCTGCGGTTCGGACACGCGTGTAACCGGCGATTGTGGAAAATGAAGCTGCGGCGCAAAAAGAGCCAAGTATTGAGAGGAAAAATCCCCCCTCCTCATATCGAAAATGTGTGTGCTGCCCGAAAATTTGTCTTGCTGATTTGAGACCACAAATCACGTCTGTCTTGCAAGAAAACAAGTCTACAGGCTCTGCCGCATTATGCAGGCGGTTTGTGATGCTGTTGGGCCTACAGGGTAGACGTTTCTCTTGCTAAGCGCCTAGGCCGGAGCCTCTCTGCTCAGGCTTGGCAGGGGCCTGCAGTCCTCTACTGCAGGACAGACCTAATTTGTGTGCGCAAATCCAGCGTCAGAGACTTCCGTTTGATATGGGGAGGGGGGGCGTTCCCTTGTGATACCAAGTTGGGAGTACGCATTTCCACCCAACTTCGTTCGGTGGCGAGAAGGCAAACTATCCTGAGCAAAAACGTCCCCACCCCAGAGTCAAGATCATGGGGATCTCGCAACACAAATCGAGAATTTTTGGAGATCAAGCGTGACAAGTTCGTTTCTGTATTGTAGTGAAGCTTAGCAAGTACTACAGCCGCAACGCAAATCCATCTTCTATTCATTCTGCTTAGAGTATTACAAAGTCCAAAACACAATCGGGAATGCCTCTCATTTTGAGGATGCGCATTACTTGTCCTCCTGTGACTGGAAATCTGCACGACAAGCCTGGGGTGGAGACGTTTTTACTCAGGATACAAACAGACAGAAACTGAAGATAGGACTCTCGAAGGAAGGTACTCAAACCGAGATCGAGGTGAGTCCGCAAATGGCGAAGCTTCACGGGGTGCATATCCTGTGGAGAAACTACGTCCCCATACCATAGTCAAGTTGGTAAATAAATATTTTGCAACTACAGAAGTCTTCAAGTTTTGGGAGTTATGCATGACAAGTTTGGGTGTAATTCTGTGTAGCTGCTAGTAGCTCAACAGCGTCACAGATCCAGCCTATCAGGCTCCTTCGAGCGCCAGAGATGCCGGAACTGGAACAGAACTAGAAAATGCTTCTCATGGGGCTCGCTCCGCATGAGAAATATTATCAGCATGCATATTTGCATGACAACTCTGGCGGGCTGGGGACGTTTTTCCAAATGATAGCGCAGCTGGCCGGTAAGATTAGAACAATTGATGGGCAAGAGTTGCCAGCTAGGCTACTTCATCTCATGGTGAGGCAGACACTCCCGAAAACAAGCGAAGCAGAACCGGAGAAAATGATCCTCGCCTCTCGCACAGCAGATATGGCGCTCTCAAACGTTACATTCTCAACTGGTACAACATTGATTTGTCACGCAAAAGCACCTTAAGCCGGCAGATGATCGAGCTGCTTCGCATGACAAATTTCGGGAGGGCTAGACAGCATCTAAATCTGCGCCAAACTTGTAAATGCAAAGGGCGCAATCTTCCTCCTTCCAATTTTGCCAGTCTTGCATTACAAATTCATGTAACAGTTGAGAGTGTAACATTTTAGAACTCCATAGCAGAGCCGGACGAGTTCGAGTTTTTCCGTGGCGAAGTATGAGCAGAGTGCACAAGAACTCCCCCTTGTTCCCTTCTTTTGGGTGTTCATCTTGGCATAAATAGCAATGCAAGCGTCTGCAAGATGAGGACGAGTGCGAGGAGGTTCGTTTTGCTGCCTGACAGATTTATTGCAGGACTACACGACGAGGAGTGCCGCGTGTGTACTTACTAGAAGTTGTGCTATAATTTTTTGCGCTCCTGGTCCTGCAGCAAGAACTACTTTAACCAGGGAATGAACAGTCCCACGAGCAGGCAAGGCGTAAATTTATTTTAAACAGTTTGCATGATCGAAATGAGCAGGCCGAGGGGGAATACTACTAGTTGTGCACTCTTATACCCAGTCGAATACGCGGAGGAGCCGTTCGGAATACCCGCGCATTACAGGGCGGACGTTAGCATTGTCTTCATAAACGGGCGGTGGCAACTTATCGTCAAAAAAATCTTTTGGAAGGACTTGCAAGAAAGAGCGACCGAGGGAACTACGCCGGGTCGTACTACGAAAATCCTCGAGGAGGTACCCATGGACCAGGAGACGAAGCAGGAAAGAAGAACGTTTTCGCTTTTGGGGAATTCAGGACTAAAAAAGACGAAGGGTGGAGAGTGCACGGGTGTGCTCATGGAATCGAAAAAAGAAATCGTGGAAGATATGCGTAAAAACAACGAGCGGCACAGCACCTCGATTCTGCTGCCCTATTTCGCGGAAGAGACCTTCTTTTTGACGACGTCGTCGAGTACGAGTAGCAGCTTCAACGGGCGGCGGGGACGAGGTTCTTGCGAAGATACATCGTCGCAATTCTTTGACTACAATTTTCTGGAGTCGAACAGTCAGGCTTATGAAGACGGGGGTGACGTGCGCAGTTTTGGGAGCGGAAAGGACATGCATATCCAGTGCAAAAGTATCGTACTCGTAGTAATTGCAGCTTTTATGGCATATACAAATCTTTTTGTTAAGGCAAATCCGCATCACAAATTTACTTAATTTAACGTTGTAATGCTGAGCTAATTGCAATTGCTATACATTATATTCATGCGAAAAAAGAGGTAGACAGAGGGCCCCAGAGAGGTGGCCGAAAAAAGAGGTCGACAGAGGTAGAAAAGAGGTCGACAGAGGTGGAGAGGTGGCGCGGGACCCCGTTCGAGAGGGTCCGCGAGAGGGTGCGCGAATAAGGCCCGCAGTAAGCGCCCACCCTTAGGCCCCGCCTAAGTGGCACAGAGGGCGCAGAGAGGTCAAAAAGAGGGGGCGCGAGAGGTCGACAGAGGTGGAGAGAGGTGTTGTGAATAAGGGGCGACCTCTCGTGGACCCTCTTGGCCACCTCTCGGCCACCTCTGTCGACCTCTTTCTACCCCCCCGCGAGTATAGCCGGACTATTAGCGGGGACCCCCAAAAGAGGCCAAAAAGAGGGTCCGCGAGAGGTCTGTGAGAGGGTAAAAGCACAAAGAAGCGGGCGCGAATCCGCATGGCGCTACCCATATTTGGCATTGCAGGCCATTCGCGGACTTGTTTTGTCCGACGCCGGCCTTTCCGTGCCACCCTCTCGCGCACCCTCTCGCGCCACCCTCTCGCGCCACCCTCTCGCGCCACCCTCTCGCGCCACCCTCTCGCGCCACCCTCCCGCGCCACCCTCGCCTCTCCCGCCGTGCGGCTTCTGTTCCTTCGCCCCCGGTGTTCTTTGCAGCTGCTCCCTGCGCAGAGCGCCCACAGGCGCGGGAAGCGCGCAAGTGGTCCGGCGGCTTGGCGCGGCGCAAACCGGCGGCAGGAGTCCAGTAGTGTTTTTCTGTGCCTAGGCCCGTGGGGTTGTGGTCCGAGCGGCAAACAGCCTTGCCCCGGCCCAACAGCCTAGCGCTCCGGCGGCAGCCGGGGCATGGCTGGTTTATTATACTAGTGCGATGCTTTTGCAGTTCATAATGCAGACCAGCAACCAAATCGATCTGCTTGATGCGGTGCGGCAGGTCCTTAGATTCGGCTATAATATTTTTATGCCGGATGAAGAACAAGTACAAGACACGACGAGAGATGCTGGTGCAGAAGAACACGCTCGAAAAGTTTTCCTGGAAGAGCTTGCCATGGACCTCGATACCCTTGTAGTTGTTGCGCGCGATCAAGATCAGCGACGCGAAATCCACCGCGTCCGCGCCCAGGAGAAGTTGGGAACGATTCTCCCGATTTTGCTCGAGCACTTTGCTAATGACTACGTGCTTCGCGACCACACATATTCCGAGGAACTCCGGCCTCTTGTGGCGCGGAGACAAGTTCAAGTCAAATCACGCCAAATTCCACCACCTTCTGAGGCAGCAGATTCGAGAACATCGGCGGCGCCAGGTGCTGAATTCGCTTTCGACGTTGATTTCTCTGTCGAAGTGGTGGCGGACGCTTTCGCCATATTGACGCCAAAGCTGCCGGAAGCTTTCTACCGCGAGACAAAACGTGACCACAACGGGGAGCCAAGGAAACCCGGCTATCGGTTGAAGAAGGTAAGGGAAGCAGTGGAGAGTTGCGTCAAGGTCGTTCTCGCGCAGGTTTCACGCGCCGCCACAGGAGAGCAGCTGCAGCTCCGCCAAAAGGGCTCAGGAGCAACGTCAGCCGGTACTTCTAGAAATCCAGAAGCTCCTCTTGTTGGGGCACTGGCACAGACGAGATCGAGCGTGGACTTGTGGACGAGCATTATGGACTACGAACCTGGGACCTACATGATTCCCAACGGGATCACGCTCACTAAAGGATTGCTAAGTGTTTTCTGGCACTACCTGAACATGAATGGCAAAGCAGAAGTTACTATCGAGGCCTTTGCGAATCTAAACACTCGGGAGCAGAAGAGTCAACAAGTACGGGCGCGGGAGTTGCTGCGGCTGTTTGCGTTGGGACCGCGGAGGGAGGGGAAAAGCCCTTGGGTCGCTTCCACAAAACGCTTGTTTCCAGATTCCTCATCTCCTTCTCCGACACCCGGCACCGCGGCAGGCCAAGGCGCTCCTCCCCCTCGTTTATCGCGCGAACAGACGTCCTATCAAATGTAAAAATGTCTGGGTCTGGAAGGTCGGAACTTGTAATGCGTATTTCAGAACACAGAAAAGTCTCTCATGCATACGTAGCAAAAGCTGCCCACTTTCTGTCAGCAAAATAGGCAATTTGTCATGCGGATTCGGCATTGCGGAAGCTTCTCGAAACCTGTGACGCTAGAGCTTTCATGCCAGACCTTCTGTGTCATGCAAAAACAGCATGACTTTTCCAGACCCAGACATTTTTACATTTGATACGTCCTTTACCGCGGTTCTGTATGATTCGCTGCGTGGATTGTACGCAGAAAGAGCGGAAAAAGATCAGTGGTATTCTAATTCTTCGGGGGCGGTGGAAAAGAAAACCAAAACTCCACCATCTTCTGAAGTGGTCGGTGGATTAGGATTAGGGAGCGCTGGCGGACCACGTGGTCAAGATATGGCGGCTTCCGGCAGTGGCAGTGGCGGAACTGCAGCCGGCGGAGCTCCAACTGTACGCAGGGCGCGTCGAAAACGGCGGAGGCGGAGGGTGACGACGAAAGGTCGTCGCGTCAGGTCGAAAACGAGATGAAAAAGAAACAAGATGAACGTATTTTGAAAACCTTATATCAGAATAATGTGAATCTGAAACGACGTGCTGCAAGTCAGTAGAAGAACAGCTGTTGTAGTAGATACTTGTTATCAACAGGAGCGGCACCCGGCGCGGACTGAAACTGATCCTATGTTCCTCAGCGCCGCGGCCTAAGTCCTCAGCTCCTAAGTATCTAATGATCGTATGATTTTCGACATCAAGTGAAGACGAACAGCACTCGACTACAACTGCCGCGGATCCAGCGAGCCACTATCTTCAATCCGACTTACCGCGACAAAGGGGTGATCGTAGGCAGACTAGAAGCGGGGCTTGCAGCAAACCGAGGGAGACAACGGGTCGCAACTGCTGGAGGTTGCGGCGTTACAGACCTTCGGATTGCTGGGCTTATCGCTTCAAAAAGATGTCCTATGGTTAGCTTAAGAAAAGAGTAGCTTAGTAGATAGAAGCTGGCTATAGAGTTTTCCTCCTCCTCCTCCTCACTCAGGTGTAATCACAGCGCATTCAGATATGATCACGGAACTCACTTCGAAGATATAGTCGTGGCACGGCAAAAATCATGCAGTCCGTAATTTCTTGACGATCACGATTCATTTTGAGAAAGCGCGTCCAGAAAAGATCGAATCGTTTATATTTTTGTGCTCCTGTAAGAAGGCAGCAGCATCCGCTAGAGTGCTGGATGCGCGATGAACGCGACACAAGGCTCGTAGCCCGTCGCTGACATTGAAAGACCGTGGCAAAATCAACCAACACGACGCTAGTAGCGAAGACGCGTCGATGCTGCCATCAGGAGCATTGGAATAAGAGCCCGCCGGTGCGCTCTAAGACGCCCCCCCCCCAGCAGGGTGGCCCAGGCACCTCCAGGATCCTTGTTCACCTCTTGAGATGTTCGTCAGGATCACGAATGCAGAGGGTTGCTTCACACTCGAACGGGCAGGCAATTTAGATCATGTGGATTCTTGTGTGAGAGTAAGTACTACAACTACGCCTAGTTCTGCTTGTACTATCAAAGTCATCTTATCACACGAGGCCTTTCCAGCACGAGAAAGTTGAAACCGGCCAAGAAGTTTTTTCGTCTTCGAGCCACCTGCGCCCGCTACCCGCCCGTCCTCACCCGTAAAAGCAGTAATTTTTCATTTTTTCCGGGCAATTTGCAAGGGGGAAGGCTGGCCATTTTTTCGAAATCGGCCTAAGTTTTTTTTTCGTCTTGTACCCACCTGCGCCCGCTACCCGCCCGTCCTCACCCGTAAAAGCAGTAATCTTTCATTTTTTCCGGGTAATTTGTAAGGCGGAATGCTCGCCATTTTCCCAAAATTGGCCTAAGTTTTTTTTTCGCCTTCCCATCTGCCCCCGCTACCCACCCGTCATTGCGTACTGTCATTTCTCCTGTCACTAACCTACCTACCCATCCGCCGAAACATACCGTCATTTCTCCTGTCGGGCTTGTTTTGGGCTGTGAATCAGTTCTTCAGCGGCTTGCATCGCGACGGTTTCCCGGTGTTGCGGGACACAGTGAACGAACTTCAAAGCGCAAACCCCGAACTGCAAGGAATTCGAATCTATCCACTGCAAAAGTTACTAGCACCGCGCTGCTCGTACTGTAGCCAGTTGCGCATATTACTTCTTGCATGTTGACAACTCTATTTTCGGTAATTCAGCACTGCAAATTCAGCCCGTTTTGTTTTCACGTAGAGAAAATTTCTTGAGCAAAAATGCAGTTGCCACTGGATAGTACAAGTAGAGTACGGTAGTGCTTTTGCAGTGCATAGATTTACGGCATTGAGTACCAACGACGTGCTGCGCGGAGACCAGACGCCCGACTTGTACGCCAACGACAGTTTGCATCCGAATTGGCGCGGCAGCGAGGTTTATGAATTGCAAATATGTCTGGGTCTGGAAAGTTGGAACTTGTGATGCTAACTTCGGACTCTGAAAAAATTTGTATTGTATGGCCAGCAAGTAGAGGAGTCTAGCACTAGCTTGTGCTTCGCGGGGAGGGCCTTTGTCATGCGGAATAGGCATCAGGAAGCAATCAGAAGATCTGTGATGCTAGGGGATACATGCATCACAGACGTCACGGGTCATGTAAAATCTGCATGACAACCTTCCAGACCTAGACATGTTTGCATTTGATAAAGTTTTGGCCAGAAAGCTGTACGATTACATAGCCACTACTTCTACACCCTGCAAGTAGAACTTCTACCCGTAGAACTGTCACTGAGGAGATTGGAGATTTTTTTCAAAAAACAGCTACAGGCTGATGTGTAAGGTTCTAGTTTTGGCAAACGCGACTACTTGTTACACAAAGTGATTTTTTTCCGATCTATTGATGTTTTGAAAAAGGTACAGGTACTAAAGACTGAGAATCAACGAAGAATAATTGTCACAATACAGTACGGATTTAGGTACTAGTTTTCTGCTGCCGTTTTGTTTTGGAACACGAAGAGGAGCAAGTCGTGTATGATTGTGCATCGTAGTTAGCGCCCGGTCATTTTTGAAAAATTGGCACGTTTTTGCTTTTCGTCTCCTCGCCTGCGCCCTGTCCCCGCCGGTCCTCACCCGTGGGAGCAGTCATTTTTGATTTTCCCCGGGCAATCTGTAATGCGCCACGCTGGCCATTTTTGATTGAAAAATTAGCATGTTTTTCGTCTCCCCGCCTGCGCCCTGTCCCCGCCGGTCCTCACCCGTGGGAGCAGTAATTTTTGATGTTCACCTCTTGAGATGTTCGTCAGGATCACGAATGCAGAAGGTTACTTCAGACTCTTGCTCGCTCGTACACCGTTGAGTGGATCGCTTTCCAGGAGACAGGATCAAATTTAGAGCACCACAAACCTCTCGTAGAGTCGCGTGGGCTGTGTATGTATGTACTTTGAGCGTTAGGCATCTATGAGTTAGTACAGCTGGTGGTGCCATCGAGACTCCGAGGACTCATCAAAATCGAGACACTGAACAATCTCAATCTTCAAAAACCGCACTGCAAACGGATGCTTTTTCTTTTTCAGGAGCAGCATTCTGAAAAGGAGAGTGAGCAGGAGCTGAAAACTTTTCAAACGCCTGGAAGCAAGATTCGAAAGCTCACGGTCGTCTCGACCTAGAAGAACGGATCGTGTTAAATTCCTTTGGTGGGAGCCATTGTTCTTCTGTGCCCGACATGCAGGCACAGGTTATCATCAATACGTATCGGTATCTACTACGAATTGTCGCCTTCTTCTTTAATGCCAGTTTTATAATCCGAAAATGTCGTTCTGGGCGGGGTATCGTTCGATTGCTCTTTGTCTTTGGCGTCGTTGGAAGAGGAGGTTGTAACAAAGCTTGTACTTTGAGCCAGACAGCACTTCTACGTCGAAAAATCTAAAAACAAAATCACTCTGGGGAAGCCTGAATTTCAATTTTTTGAATTGCTTCATTTTATCTTCACTAGTGAGTATTCTTGTTCCTGAAAAAAAAGTTCCTTCGTTCTAGTTGACGATAGGACGTCGAACCAAGGAAAAGCAAAAGGTTTTTTTTTTGAAACGAACTGGAAATTTCAGTTTCACACAGCGTTATTAACCAACGAACTACGGAGGTAGTTCACGTACAACTATGTGTGTCACTAAAACCACCTGACAGACGAATTTTAACAACTTCATCGTCAAAGATTAAATGGCAGCGTTTTTCGCACCGGTTGAGCATGTTGATCCTGCTCCAGCAGCCCACTGGAAATACCGCACCTACACGGAACTGTGCATCCGCTCACTGGAGACCAACGGCCTCCGGATCCACGGGCTAACAGATGCTTTGATGCAAGAAATCGCAGCTGCCTTGGAGCAACAACAGGAAGTTTTCTACGCTTCTGTGTTGCAAGATCAAGATGTTGAACAAGGTCAGCATGAACAACAACATGAAAACCAGTTGTACCCCAGGGTTCTCTCGATCGCCGTTTCGATGCGGCAATTGCCAACCGTCCACCCGGATATCAAACGACGGTTTGGTATGGGAGTGTCAGGATTGAAATCGACAAAATCGAAAAATTTGCAATGCATAAAATGTAGGGCAAGTGAGGCCTGTGCTCGGGAGCAGGCAATTGAGACCGATTGTTAGCCTGTTTAGGAGAAGGCGATGTGCTGCCAGAGTGGCACGACAGGAGCAGTCTTCTTTGCCCAACAGCATGACAGACTGTATTTCGGCTCTACCCAAATTTGTCATGCGCTTCTTGCAAACTGAGGCTCCAAGACCAAGTGGTATCGATTTTATGCATGGCAAACTATAACTATTCCAACTTTGACGATTTCAATCCTGACACTCCCATATTTGGCCGTTTCGTCTTGCACTTGGTGGACAAAATTATCGACCCGATGGACTTCGTGCTATGCATTGCATGCAAATATGTCTGGGTCTCCTGGAAGAATGCAAGATTTGTCATGCATATTCTGCATGGCCCAGAACCAGAACGTCTGGAATGCGAGCTGTAGCCTGGCAAGTTTTGCGAAGGCTCCGCAATGCGTGTTCTGCATGAGAAGCTGAAGCGTTGTCTTCTCGTAACCGAAACTTGTACTTGGCACTTGTGTTGGTCGTGCAATACAGATTCTTGTATCGATCAGACCTAGCATGACAAACTCAAACTCCTCCAGCGCCAGACGTATTTCTATTTGCAGTTCATACGTGCGTGTGGAAAACGATTTGGAGATTCAGAACCTGATCACGCGGAAGGGAAAAATCGAAACGGTGAAGAACGGGAAAAATAAAATGGACAAGATCGAATCCGAATTTCCAGAGGATTTGAACCCGGTGTTAAAGCTGAAACGCCTGGAGTCGGTGTATTTCGCACTCATCGCGGCAACCATGTTGCTGCCCAAGTTGCGATATGAACTGCAAAAGTATCGCACTCGTACTAATTGCAATCATGCATTGCAAATTTTTTTCTCAAGGTAAATCCGCATTACAAATTCCATTTTTCATGCTGACGAAATTTGTATAATGCAATTCATACTAGTACGATGCTTTTGCATTGCATATGCGAAACGACAAAAAGAAGGTGGATTGCGAGATGGAGCTGAACAACAATCTTGTGATCGGAAATATCAAATGCAAAAGTGTCTGGGTCTGGAAGAATGCAAGTTTGTCATGCTTGTTTGGCATGACTCGAGAATCTGTGTTGCATAGGCACGAAAGAGCCCTCTTAACTGTCATGCGAAAAGGCAGTTTGCCATGCGGAATACATAAGACATGACAGCCACAAAATTTGTCATGCGTAGCTGCGTATTGCGGCGCGTCTATCATTCACTTTTAGCATTACAAGTTTCCAGACCCAAACATTTTTGCATTTGATAGGAAAAACGAGTGATAACAATCATGCCGCGGGGGCACAACTAACAGCAAACGGCGCATCATCGCGCTCTCCAAGTACTAGATCGGCGTCCGCATCACCGAGCAAGAATACTAGAACTGCACTGTCTATGCATCGCAAAACTATCGGACTAATATGATAATTGCATTACAAGAAATTGACTTCGCATTACAAATTGAATCTGTCATGCGGATTTGCCTCAAGAACAAGATTTGTAATGCATAAACGCAATTTGATAGTACGAGTGCGATTCTTTTGCACTGCATACTGTCACCCTCTCCGACCAAAACCCCACGGGAGCTGCTGACCATATGCAAGAAAAAAACTGTGTAAGTGTAATTATGTGTTGCAGAACATGCAAAAGGGTTACACCTGTCATGCCAGATAGCCATGAAGTCCTCTTTTCACGTGTGTTTTCCCTTACAAGTCACGCATGACAGGTTTTCTCTGTCATGTAGAGCAAATTTGTGATGCTGTTTCTCAGAGAAAGTTACACTTACACACTTTTTTTCCTGGATAGACCATGGACCAGGAGGACTGCTTACCCGGGCAAGCCAGTCCGTTCCGAAAGCCGCAGAAGAAGAAAGCCTCGCTGTTGTATTCTGCTGGGGGGACGGGCCGCGGGACGGGGCCGAGGGCAGCTGCAGCTGGGAACAATAATTCCAACAATGTCAATCTCAATCACGCAGAACTACAAGTGAAGGACATCCGGGCCGGGAAGCCAGTGCTATGCATTGCAGAAGTATCGTACTCGTATAAATGCATTACAAATTTCCTTAGCATGAGAAATAATGTTTGTCATGCGGATTTACCTTACGAACAAAATTTGTAATGCATGGCTGCAATTACTACGAGTATGATACTTTTGCACAGGATAAGTGCCTTTGTTTTACCACGATCCGGAAGCGGACCAGTACCGGCTCGATTACAACAGAACAGCAGGTTCTTCAACCTCTCCTGTTGACCGCACTGCTGCTCGTGCTGGGATTCAACGTCGTAGCTCAGGTCGTGGTTATTTTCAACGAAACCATCAAAACAATCACAACCCGAGCATCCAGCAGTTTTACGAGGACGACAGCTGTAACAACCCGCCGGTTCATGATTTTTACACCACAGAAGTAGATGCAAGAACTGCCGCACGTCGGCCATGCGGAAACGGAGGCAGGACCGGCGGCGGAACTACATCAAGGAAGAGTTGGAAGATGAACATGCCAGGAAGATCAAGAACGATGGGACGGAGCTGCTCGACGACTTCGGCAAAGAGCTTCACCTTCCCTAGCAGTACGACGCGGGCAGTGGACAATAGAAATGGCAGGAAGATGTTCTTGCACAGTTACGCCACGAATATCAGCACTTGCAGGGGCCAGTACAAAAAACCTCACAATCGTAGTATCTACGACGCGGACGCGGAGGACGACGAACTGTTGGTCACGTTTGGACAGTAGTCTAGCTTTTGAAGAAGATTTATCCTGTGCAAAAGTATCGTACTCGTATAAATGCAAGTCTTGCATTACAAATCTTGTTCCTACGGAAAATCTGCATTACAAATTTTATTTCTCCTGCTGAGGAAATTTGTAATGCATTGATACGAGTGCGATACTTTTGCACTGCATAAGATTGGTGGAGAAGTAGAACATGAACAGGTCTTCCTCATGATCAAGAATAGATTTCGCAGGACCGAATCGGAATCGCAAGATGTTGCCAGAAAGATCATGAGGAGCAGGGCAAGCCGCGCTGCTGGGTTTATTTACCACTAGCCGTAGAAGTGGTATTAACTACGAAAATTCGTAGAGAACTGCGTTTTGACAGATCTGTTGGTGTTCTTTCCTGGTTGTACTGGTCTGCTCGACCTGCATCTCCAGCAGTATGTGCTTATCGCACAACTGTGTTTGAAGTTGAAAAACTTGGAGCGAAAGTTGATGCGGAGAGGGTAAAAGTTTTGAGTATATTATGCGAGTAGCAGTAGACAATCCTGACCCGAGCTGCCAGAGTTACAGATTACTTGTTCACGACCCTCAATATCAATCGGAACACTTTTGTTCACACCGGGACCAGACAAAGACGAAGGAAAATGACTTAAAGACAAGATGTGAGCCACTTCGTCTTGTTTCGACGTCTTCTTGCCCTGCTCAGGCGAAGACCCAGCACCTGCAGCAAGATGGGCACCTCCGCAAATAAGTCGCGAGCCAGCTCGCTTTGGGCCATTTGCGAGAGTCCTCCTTGTACCAAAGTGCTCCTTCCATGTGGTCCCGGCACGAGGACCACCTCCACAATGGTTGCACTACTCTTTCTCACACTCGCACAAGTAGAAGTTGCTCCGGCCACTGCCATCACTACAAACCTGCAGAATCGCATCAGTTTGCGCAGCCGAAGTAGCCACACGACACTGTCCTCACTGGAAAGAAAATCATCATCGTCCTCCCGGAACGCGAAGCAAATCGCAAATTTGGTTTCCGTGCTCGACAGGATGCAATCGGACTTGCAGAAAGAGCTGGAACTCGAGGCGCAGGAAGCCAAAAAGAAGCAGTGCTACTGCGAGAACACCATCGACGAGACGAAAAAGGAAGTCAGTGTGGGGAAAAATCGGGTTAAGGAGATTGGGTCCGCTTTGAAGCAGCAAGTTGGCGTCGTCGCGGAGGAGAAAGTGGTGATCAAAGAGCTGAAAGCGAATATGGATTGCAAAAATGTCTGGGTCTGGAAGATTTCGAGATTTCTCATGCTAGTTTGGCATGACTCTGAACTCTGTATTGCGTGGCCACGAAGACCTCCTCTTGTCTGTCATGCAAAAACGATGTTTCTCATGCGGAATACGCAACAGAGAGCCACGAGAAAATCTGTCATGCTTGGCGGTGCATTACAAGGCGCTTTCCGTTCACTGACATGCATCACAAGTTTCCAGACCCAGACATTTTTGCATTTGAAAACGAAGCTCGAGAAACAAAAAGCGGCGGTGTTAGCCGCAACGGAGATTTTCGAGAAGAACGCAAAAACTTTTGAGGATGAGATCAAGGAAGCGAATATTGGGAAAAGGGACATTGAATCCGCGTTGGTGGTGCTGCAAAAGCCGGGCATGGAGGTTATGCATTGCAAAAGTAAAAGTATCGTACTCGTATAAAATACAAATTGGCTCAGCATTACAAATTGAATTTGTATTGCGGATTTACCTTAACAGCCTAGATTTGTAATGCATACTTGTAAGCAGTACGAGCGCGATACCTGGGCAATGCATAGAGGTGAAGGATGTGCAATTAGTGCAAGCGGCGGTGGCGGCGTTAGTGCAAAACTCGAAGTATCCTGTGCAAAAGTATCGTACTCGTATTGCAATCATGCATTACAAATCGAAATCCTTTTGTTCAGGTAAGTCCGCATCACAAATTTCATTTCTCATGCTGAGGAAATTTGTAATGCATTTGTACGAGTGCGATGCTTCTGCTTCTGCACTGCATACGAAGGAAAAAGACGTGTGGTTTGGGCGAGATAGAGATGTATTTGGCGATTCTTTCATCGAAGGAGCGACCGATATTGCAGGTGACTCATACAACTCACCGGAACATCAAGCAGAACCCGATCTGGAAGGAAGTGGAGCGGAGTCGCTGTCTGATCAACATGTAGGTGAGAATGAGATGAAAGAGCATCTACAACCGACTAGCACGAGGACAAGCTTTCTGCAAGTGAAGAGTGAGATGAACGAATTTTCGAAAACAAGAACTTCATCTACCGCGGGAACGTCATTCGCGTCTCAACTGGCGCAAAGTTTGGACGACGACGGGGGCGCATATTCCCTGAACATTAACCGTCCCCATCCACTTTTTGCATGACAAGCACAGAATTTGCTACGTTTTTTGCATGACAAATTGGATGGGGATGGTTAATTTTTAGGGGATAGCGCAAACGCTGGCGCAACGCTCTCTCCAACCCTGGCCCGGCAAATCATTGCGAACTTTCTGACCAAGACGACAGCTACAGCTGGTAGTTCTGATCCGCAAAGTGAAAGTAACAACCCCGTAATACTGATGAAAAAATCGTTGCGCTCGCTGCGCAGCAGCGATGACCACCAGGACCACGTCGATCTCGCGTTGCTTCAACTCGAAGGGAGACAAGGGCTGAGTTCATCCACGTCAGCCAAGAACCTGATGAACACTCCTTCATCCCCCGCGCTGTCTCGTCTATTGGGAATGTTGAAGAACATGAAAAACAACTTTGAGAAAACCGCGACTTCTCTTGCAGAGAAGCAAAAGAAGGAGAAAACGGAATACGACGAATTCAGAAGCACCACGGAAGGGGAAGTGAACAACTTACAGCAGGTATTCTAGAAAGAAAAACCACGACGGACTTGCTCGCCCCCAGTTTGTAATGTGAAATGAACATCGCCACGAGCACGACATGAGGGCACAATACGAAAAATTAAGATACACATTTCGTCGTGCAGCGCCGTGCTATTGATTCTGCTATAGTTTGTTGTTCTAGCTGCACGAATACGCATTAAGTACAACTTGAGGGCGGTGTTGTTCAACAAAGTTTTTTTCCCCTCGATAGCGGCGGCTTGATGACAAAGTGAAGAAGCAAAACGCGGCGAAGCTGCAGATAGAAGATTTGAAGGAAGAAAGGGGAAAACTGGTGGAGAAAGAGCTCCCCGAAGCCGAACGATTTTTGGTTGACACCGTGCAAGAGTTATGCTGATGTGGAAAATCACTTCAGCTACTTCTCGCTTCCTTCACTGTGGATAATTTTTGATGAGGACGATGATAGATCATGATCATGATGCGTTGTAATGATCGAAAATCAAAATATTAGGTGGCATTGACATTTTGACTTTTGCAGTTCATGCATGACAGATATCCGCAGGGCAGCAAAACGTCGACATCACTGAGCGAGGCGTCGAGCCGGTGGTTCGTTTCCACAGGACAGCAGTGCGATGAAGCGAAAAAAGAGTTTGCCATTAACGAGAAAGCGCGGCTCGACGAGTTAAAGGGACTGGCCGAGGGTGGTGCAGTGCTGAAGGAATTTTTGAAGGAAGGTGGAGCAACTACATCAGTGGCGGCGGGACTAGTGCAAGTAGAGAATCCAGTGGAACAGGAATCGGCTGCTTCTTCAATACTACAACAGGACGAGAGGAGCAGCTCGCGGTTTGAGGTTGTTCATTCGGACATCACTCCTGGTGCTGGCCCGCAGCAAGTGTTTCTGCAACTTGGCAGTACGACGAGAACTTCTTCCGTGGAGAGAGATGAACCGCAGCTACAGCCAGGGACCACTCCTGGTGTCGATGATGTAGACCTTCTCGCGGTTTTCAACGCCGAAACGCACTCGGGGAAGAGTATACTCGCGACGTCGGCATCAAGTGCAGTTTTACCTTCTGCGAGGACGACAACATCACCGACTTCCGCGTTCTTCGCTGAAGACACATTGTCAGACGAAGCGAGGAAGGCACGAGGTACGAAGGAAAGAGGAACAATGCCCAGGAGAACTTCTACGCCCGCGAAAGCCTTCTTGTTGCAGAAATTCAATGACCTCTTCGCGACCGCCGCTGGAGAAGTGGAAGTGCGTGCGGAACAACCCGCGACCACACGAAAAACTGGGTCATTGCCGCGTGGTGAAGTAGAACAATCCAGCACGAGTTCGAGCTCTAGCTCCACCGCGCACGTGCAGCAGCTGGCGCAAGAGCAAACAGGGAGAGCGAGTACTTCTATGGTGCAAGAACAACTTCAGAACAACTACAACAAGCTCAAGGGTGACGTCTTGGCCCAAGATGAGAAGTCCTCCTCGCAGTCAGGTCTTCAGCTACACCAGCAGCAGATGTACACGACGCACAAGAATGCTTCTTTTTCGAACACGCTGGTCGAAAAGATCCAGAAGCTCATCACCCATTTGAAAACGAAACAAGCCGCCGACAACGCCGCCCGAGATTCTTGCAGCCAAGATTTGCGGACCAATGCGGGGAAATTGGACCTGCTGAAGCGAAAAGAGCAGGAAGTGACCGCAGGGTTGGAGAAATTACAGCTGTATGCAAAAATGCCATAGAAGTCTTGCTCTTGCACACAATGTTTTAGTGCAGATATTAATTGCATCACAAACACTTCTTCGAAAGGAACAGCACTCGAACTTGTCTTTATCCTGAACATGTAGATTCTTTTAGTAGGAGCTACAAGACGAGATCTGTCCTGGTGCTACTAGTAGATGAACGAGTGCTATGTTGCAGCTTCTGCATTGGATCAGCTGCAACTGGAGCAGATTGGGGAAAAGGTGGAGAACGTGGAAAAGCACGACTTGCCGAAAATCCAGGGAGAGCAGAAGCAGCTCTCGCAGGATATGGCTCGTCCGTGCACCTGCGTCGACAATGATCTTCTCAACTGCAATGACGTATTTGTGATACCTAAAGTTGTCGCACGAGGATGGTGCGTCTTCTAGCACATGAACATTTCCGCGGCTTTTTTAATGTAGTAGCTGAGCATGACAAGGGTTCTGGGTTATATTAACATGAGACATCAAACTCAAACTCTGCACAGGACCTGTCATGTAAAAAATACACCTTGCTGTAGTAGACAAGATTGTCTTATCCTCTGGTGAAGTGGATTGTTTGTGTCTGACAAAAAAATGTTGTAGGCTCTTCCTCTTGCTTATTGAGATAGAGACTCATTGTCCGAGCTCCTGAGCACCCGGGCATACAGGAGAGAGAACGGGAAAACAAGCTCTTCCAGGACGAAGTCAAGGAGCAACGGGCGATGAAGAAAGTGCTGGAACTCGCGTTGAAACAGATCAGCAAAACGTCGGTGGGGTCTTCTAGTAAGACTGGAGGCGGCACATCAAGTGTGGAAAAATTGTATCCAGGAAAAAACACCCATCCCCATCCATTTTTCGCATGACAAACGCCGGACTTTATGCATGTTTTGCATGACAAAGTGGATGGGGATGGGTGTTTTTTCCTGGAAAAATTGTTCCACCAACTCATCACGGAGGCCGTGGAGGAAGAAAAACAGCTAATGACCTATCCTGTGCAAAAGTATCGCACTCGTATTGCAGTCATGCTGCATTACAAATCTTTTTCTTAAGCTGCGTCAGCATTGCAAGTTTTCTTTCTCATGCTAAGGAAATTTGTAATGCATTTATAGATTATATTACGAGTGCGATAGTTTTGCACTGCATATGACCTCCGAAGCGACAAAACAGCGCGAGTACATCAGCCTGGCGCAGGAGTTTACGCAATTGGAAGAAACGCTTGTGGAAAAGCGAGACAATTTAGAAAAACAGCGTGCGCAGCTGCAGGAAGAAAACTTCAAAGTCCAGAATGTGGAGAAGAAGCAAATTCTGTTAGAGATCGAAAACCACGCGAAGGTGAGCCGGGAGCGGGCAGCGGAGTGTGACTTCATCCTGAAGGCGTTTGGAAAACGGCAGGCGGACCGGACGGCAGAAAAGGAGAAGCTGGCGAAAGCACAGGAAGTGCTGAAAGGGCTGGATAAGTAAAGCTCATGGAGGGCAGCACGATGGGCACAGGCGGGTTGGAAACTACGGCTCAACATCCGCTCGTTCTCATTCGACGGCACGGGAAAGTTTAAGGAGGCCACTCTGTCGTGCTAGGAGTAGGGCAGCATCATCTGCACGTGGTGCAGCTGCAGATATATTTTCTTTTCTTTTCGTTGAACTTGAAGATTTTTTCCAGAAATGAAATCGAACCTGTGATGATGCTGGTGGACACAAAGATCGAAATGTAAGATGCGGAAAATAAAATCAAATGTGCGCACAGTTATCACTCTCACCTGTCTATCAAGCCACGACTTGTGCACTCATCTGTGCATTGATCAATGGATGCTGGAGCGTGGCAGCGGCTCTGGAACTATGCGACAGCGGCCATATAGTTTTTGTTTCCAGCAGCGATATGTTTGTTCTCATCACGGTGTCAAGATTTTCTTATGGCCGATTTAACGAAGATGCCGCGGATCTCTCTTGTGGTTTTTGTTTGCGTGCGTAAGATCCTTTTTTTTGTGTGGAGAAGATCATCATCCTAATCATGCTCAGTGACTACGTCTACGGCAGGTGAAGCAGTGCAAGAAGATTAGGCTTCGTTCCGGTTGATTGATGTATTCGGGATCCTTTTCTCCTTTCTGAACGAATTCTCTTTTGAACCACCAGAATTTGCCTCTCTAGGGTAGCAGGACAACGAAAACGAGAAGCCGAGTCGCAGTTCCACTAACAAAGACGGTGAAAATCATCGCAATGCCGTGATATAGTTGTGCTACGCATAGCATGGCGATGGAAAGATTCGGAAGCAAGTTGAAGCCACTTGTGTAGTCGGATAGATTCTGAAGCAAGTCCAAGTCGATTGGTAGAAACATGTTCATGTAGGGCGCTTTTATTGCGGCCTGGATCTCGTGCTGGCAAGTTGGTTGTAAGTCTCTGTATGGAGCAGGTCGGTAAGAAGTGCAGGACTACATAGTTACTGGTTACTAGAGATACACACAACCGTGAATAATTTCTACAAGAACTACGCCATGTCTCCCTTCGCAACCAACCCTGACCACGAAAAGGCATGGCAGCAAGCCATCAGTACTACAACTCGTGCCCGAGCAACAAGTGCAACAGCTGGCAAAGAATCGGCAAACCTATTTCTATTTGCGTCAAGGAACCAGAACCACGTGTGTAGTACAACACCAGGAGCAGGAGCTGCATCAGGAACAGCGGCTGTGGGTGTTGACTCGAGAGCAGGGTCCCCCGATTTTGAAGGTGGAATTGGAGGAGGCGGTGCTGTAGCAGGAGCAGCCAGCACCGCCGAAAATAAAACCGTACAGCACCAGCGCTATGGTACATCTCTCCTGCACACCCTGCTTTTCGCGCTCTTCCGCTTTCTGGACAACCACAAGAAGAAACTCCTCTTTCTCGGTCTCCCGACGATCGTCATCTTTCTCTACCTCCGGAAACTGTACCTGAAATATTTGAAGCCGATTCTAGAACTGGTCCGAGCCACGCAAGGCATGGGAAATATGATGGGCTCGTCGTCTGTTGGTGGTGGCAAAGTTGGTGGTGCGCCAGGAGGCGCAGAACAAGGCTCTGCCACCGCGACGGGCATTGGAAATACTGCGTTACCCGACCAAGATTTCAACGAGCAAGAACTGGAGAAGATGCTGAAATCGCTGCTGAGTCTCGGCAGCGGAGACGAAGACGACAACGATCCGCAAAACCAGGCGTTACTTCAAGGCTTGCTGGGAAGCACCGGTTCCGGAATTACGGGCGGGAGCGCCTCCTCCGCCCAAGGAAGTCCGTTGGAGGAGCTGCTGAGTGGGGCCGGGTCCGGAGGGTCCTCGTTCCTGCAAAACATGAGCAACCTTATGAACGATGGGGTTGCTGCGCCGACGTCGTCGCACAATCAAAATCATGTTGACAGCAGTTCGAGCGACGTGGCCCAGGAGCTGTTTATTACCTACCAGGAGCAAGATTTTTTTTCGCAACAGAGCTTCCAAACGTATTTGAATTTCGACGAAATCCAGTACCAACTCTACTTGTCTTATGGGTGTGTCAGGATTGAAATCGACAAAGTTGAAATAACTTGTAATGCATAAAATGGATGAGTAAAGTTGTGACCCAGTTTCCAATTGGCGCAACACAAATTTGGGTAGAGCCGCAATCCAGTTTGTCATGCTGTTTGGGTAAGAAAGACGCCTTTTGTCATGCTACTCTAGCAGCTCAGTGTCTACCCCTCAACAGGCTTGCAATCTGCCTCACTTGCCTACTCTGCAAGACAGGCACTTTGAGGGCTGCGTTTTATGCATGACAAACTATTTCATTTTCAACTTTGACGATTTCAAATCTGACGCTTCCATATGTCCGATGCCTCGGTCTCCGAAAACTTGTCTGTGATCCGTTCCGAATTGTTTGACAAGGTGTTTCGGACCAACATCGAGGCCGCGGCAGCAAGGATTCGGCAACTCAACGAGATTGGCAATGGCTCGGCTTGCAATGGCGATGATGTCGTGTTGGCAGCGGACCATCTTCATGGGCGGACGCCGGAGGCCGCCACAACCTCGAGGGACAAAGATGTTGGAAGCGGGCTCGCCGCTAGTACTTCGTCTAGTACAGCTGGTGCTCTAGTGCTGCAACATGCGACCTCAGCACACCAGCACCAGCAGCAGCTAACTTTTGTGCAGGAGAAACAGCTCGTATGGGATGGAAAACATTTAAGTCTAGTACGCTCTTCGCTTTGCAGTTGAGGTTCAGAGCTGATGAAGAAGATTTTTTTGCATGAAATTATCAAAGAGAAGAAAGCTTGTCATTTCTAGCGGGACAATATCGACCTCACGCAGCTGAGCAGTTCTTTTTCATGTGTTTTTCTATCCGATACCTAGCGGAGAAGAAGGAGAAGGCGTTCCACGAGTTGCAGGCACTGTGCTTGGCGAAACTTTTGACGGGAGTCGTGTGCCTGAGCGCGGTGGCGCTGCAGAACCGCGTGTGCACTGTCCTGATTCTGAAACGCAATCGGGCGGTGTTTCTGCAGGAGTACTGCAAAAGCTGGAGGGAGTACTACGGAGTAAACGAAGAAGATCATGGAGGAGGTGAAGTACAACTACACCCAGTGCACCAGGGCAGCAGCAGCAAGAGCACGAAGTGTCAGACTGCTGAGCGTGCTCCTGGCATGGTGGACCACGTCGACAATCAGAAGTACAAGGAAGAAATAACCAAATATCTACAACTCGTGCGGAACTGCTTTTCTTACAACGCTAGCGGGAGCGGAGGTCGAGGTGAGGAGGACGGAGCAGGTTCATCCATAAATAACACCGGGCAGCTGCAAGAACACGAAACAGATCATGTTCATGTTGCTTCTACGCCACCTTATCCTTGTCCTGTTGACAATCAGGCCCCCGCAGCTGCCATATCATCTTCATCTTTGGTCGACAAGATTTTTGACAAGGGTCAGATTTTGGTGGAAAAAGTTTCCGCCAAGTTGGAGGGTTTCGTCGCAAAACACGTCTTTGCTGACAGTGCGTCTGTTTCCCATGATGAAAATGCTGATTCCCGGGCTCTTGCAGGCAGGAGTCGCACGGCAGGAACGGGAGAGAGTGGCGTTTCGGAGATGTTAACAGCACCCGGATTACAACATTCACCTGTGCCCGGTAGTACTACCAGTACAACTACGGGGAACGACTGGGCGGCCGAGTTTGCGGAAAAAATGCAAGAAAATGGGCAACATGATGATCTACAAGTTCAAGGGAACAACAAGCCGAAACAGGTGCAACAAGACAGTCGTGGTCGCGGCGCCGACACCAGCACTCCTGCTACGACCGTCGCATCGCGCTCTCCTGCCCCTGACGAGAACAGTACGAAAAGCAAAATACCACTTGCTCCCTTCACCGCTGCAACGGTGGAGCGATTGCTGCAAACTACCATCCACTGTCAGACGGAGAAAGGGCTCAAAAACTTGGCGGATTCGATTCTACCGGACGTGAAAAGCACGTACGCCGAGTACCTAGAGGAAAACCGGCTGCAGCAGCGGCTGACAGAAAGGGTCTCGGCCGAGGATTTAAAGCCGTTGTTTGTGGGGAAAGTCCTTGCAGGGATGAAGTTATTTCGACGACAAGAAGAGCTACTTGCTCAGCGGCGGGCGGACGAAGCAAGAGACTGTAATATAGCGAGAGGTAGAGCTATCAATTTCAATTTGCAGTGGAAGAGCTTGCTGCTAGCACAGGAAGATCAGCGGAAGGAGGAAACAAGCAGAAGTTCTTGCGACGTAGTAGACGAGCAGAAGAACTACACTACAACTTCCATTAATTCGGCAATGGGAAGAGAACCAGCTGCTGCAAGTCCGGCAGCCACACGCGGCGAAGAGGCAACAGCTACAGAACATCAAGCTGCGGATGAAGACCACCAGCAGCAGCAAGCCACTACGCAGCGGCTCCTTCTTGCGGAGCAGGAGGATATCCTGGAGTCTCCCCACTTTCACAACGCCGTGGTTTCTACGACTCACTCCCTGTTGGACGTGCTGCACCAAGCAGTGGTGGCGTACGTTGAGGAAAATGGCGAAGAGATCGCCACGCCAACTGCCGCTATGATGGTTGAGACCGTCGGGCAGGGTGGCAGCACCGTGTTGACAGGACCAGATGTAGACGAGGTACAGGAGGTACAAATAGGGGCACCATCTTCTTCGACATCAAACTCCGAGGATGTTAGACTTAGGAGGCGAACGAAAAACATGGACGACGAGGTTTTTGGTGCGCCGGAAGAGGATCAAGCCGATGAGGAAATGTTAGCTACTACAAGTAGAGCAGCAGCAGCAGTGGCTGCAACAAGTGCAGAAAGATCAATACTGGAAAATCATCAAGATCAGGGAATAGACCCCCGAAGGCAACACTCCCCTGCTGGTGAAGAAAACCGTGAACGACCACCAAAAACGAAAACCATCGAGATTGGGAAACTGGTGCCATTCCTCTGTCAGCAAGCCGAGGTCATGTTCGAATTTTTGGAGGGAGAGCTTGACGAAAACGGGTATCAATCGCAGAACCCCTACATGCAAGCCATCAATGCCAGCAACGAGAGGGAAAATAGTCCAGAATTCATGCTGATGAAGGCCATATTGCAAGCGGGGTAAGAAGATGAAAAAGAAGAAGTTCTTGATGTAGTAGTTCTTGTGCCAGCACCAGGTTTATTACACAAATAATTGAGTCTTCACGTTAACGTTTACATTTACAAATGGGCACCTGTTGTTGGTTTTCGCGTGCTGGCACCGAGAGTTGTAGTTCTGGTGTGAAATTGTAATTGACACAGGATGGATCGTGCAGTTTTTGTTGTATCCACAAAGTGGAGGAAGGGAGCGACCTGTAAATGGAACCTCCTTGTTGTGTTTGCCTGAAGGTGAAAATCAAACTAGCTCCGCCTGAGCGACGTGTAGTCAACTCTGCTCAATGAAGATGCACGATGACAAATCTAACGAGTCCGCAGTGGGCAGAAGATAAAAATGGTCAGCACGAGGACCTTCTACTTCTTTTTCGTAAACGATGAATCAGACCGGCTTCGACATAGGTAACTTGCTCAAGTTGTAATTTCAATGACCGTTGTTGGCAGTTGTGAGTGAGGGCGAAAATGAAAAAATCAAAAACTAAAAGCAGAAAAGAAGATAAAAGTCAAAGTTGCGAGAGGCTCCTAAGAGAACCGTGATCCAAGCTCGACCGGCGTGGGCTTTCCGTGTCGGATCATAATTCTTACTCCGGACGAACAAAGGATAATTAAGGTAGGCCTGCTCAGTGGCCACCTCTTAGTAGAGTCTGGTACCTGCAACAAGAAAGGTTGAAATGACGTAACGATAACTCGTAAACATTTCATCTTCAACCCGGGAGCTGCCAGAAATCGCGACGATGTGTCTGAAGCTTTGCTGTGCGCTGGTCGTGACGCTGCTTAGCAGCACTATTGTTCCTGGCAGCGGAGGAGATCTTCTCGCGTACAGCTACGCCGGCGCCCTTTCATTCGTCCAGGCAACGAATATCGCCGGATCTGCTGCAACGACGAGTACAGGCGCTACGACCGCTTCTCCACCCGCTAATACAACTAGTACAGCGACAACCGCCAATTCTTCTCCTTCCCAAACACAAGTCCAACCCCCAGCACCGCCCCGCCCGGCCACCGACACGAGCGAAGAGAACCTGTGGAAGCAAGTGAGCTCTCTCTGGTGGGTCTTACTCATCGCGGCGTTCATTCTCCTCTTTATCTACCCGGGGCTGTGCTACGAGTTTCTCTTTTCCGACGCGGACACCATCGAGGAAGCGAACTTGCGGGATCAGGAGTTCATTCTGAAAATACTGAAACACGGACCGCCTGCGAAGTCCGACGTCGTCGCGAGAAACGACGCGGGCGAAGTGGAGGTGAATTTCAAGCAAATCGGCAACCGGTTTTCCAGTTGGAGTCCCGGACCGGCGGGGAGTAATAATCTAGGAGGTGCAGCAGGGAACAATAAAGCGAACAGCAGTAGCGCCGGCCCGAAAAAGCCAGCGCACGGTGTGGGCGGCACGAGGCGACACTCTTTGGTCCGGAAAGACCAACCAGACCACAGCGCAGAATCTACTGCCCGGAAGAACAGCTTCGTGACCCAGGAACGCCGGTGGTCCGAAGCGACGTTGGAGTCGAGCTACGACGGGGGTTACTGCAACGGGTTTGAGTTGTTTCAAAATTCCGTTTTCCAGGCCACGTTTAACTACAAAAAGTCTCTGACGAAGAAAGCGGTCGCGTCGAAGAACAAAACGGCTGCGCTGATCGCGACTGTCAGTGGGGGTGGTTTGGGCGGTTCAAGCAAAACTACGTCGAATAAAACGCCGAACTCAAATCTGTCCAACAATAAGACCCCCTCGACCCTCTTCTCTTCCTTCACGAAAGCGGAGGAAGATGCGGCTGCGAATCTCGAAACCGCGTGCTACCACCGGAAGGCGACCAACTGGAAATCCACCCTGGACAAGGGCTATCCTGCGCAAAAGTACCGTACTCGTATTGATTGCAAATATGCATGACAAATCTCCTTCCACCTAAGGTAAAACAGCATTACAAATTCCCCTTTTCCTCTTGCCGAAATTTGTGATGCACTTTATACTAGTACAATAGCGAAACTTTTGCAATGCATAAGGGCTACATCGCGTTCACCAATTTCAACCCGGCAGCCCAGACTTTCACGGGCAACGGGACGGATGAGCGGAACGGACCGTTTGACGTCATCGGGCGGTATGATCAGCAGACGGGGCGGATTTGGTGGAAGCAGATTTTCAAACAGCGGATCTCCAGTAGAGGGAGTTTGTTCGGACTCGGAGCGGAAGCGGCGGATCATGGTGCAACCGCGGATCAGACGGGTAGAAAACTCACCATCGACGACGGAGCGGAGCCCAGCACCCAATCCACGGTCACCTTGATCTGTGTCGCGGCGAAAATCTCAACTCAAACGGGACGGACGATCACGGGGAGGTTTATTCCAAACGGGGGTTTGAATCGGGGCGGGGTGATACATCTGTTCCGGAAACCGATTGCCGCGGGAGATCCGGACAAGTACAATTCGGTATTTAGTGTGACGGGGGTGAAAGACCTCGGAAATAACAATCCGATGTTGCTGGTCGAGAACGAAATCAACGCCGGGCGATGTGGGCCTTCTTCGTCCCTCGACCGTAGCATGAGCGGTTTCGGGTCTTCTTCCAGGACTCCAAGCCGGTATTACGCCAGCGCAGTGAACCCGATGGAAGTGGAAAGCGTGGATAGCTACGGAGAGCATGAAGCACAAGCAGCAAATCCTACTAGAAATGGACCGTCAGGAACTTCAACTTCTTCTTACAACGCCCCGCCTGGAACAACTATGACAGGTTTCTCACCCGCCCTTTCGCAACAATCCAAGAAGAGTTCGAAAAGCGCAGCTGGTATGAAATCGAACAAAACAACAACATCAGCAACAACTCCCTCCGCCTCTGCAAAAAAGAAGAAAGAAAAAAAGCACAGCAAGAGAAGCAAGAGAGACGAGCTTGCCGCGAGCAAAACTTCAACGCTGTTTAACCGGTCGACCAGTTCGTTAGAGGAGTTTGTCACCGATGATCCGGTCGGGTACCGGGTGAGTACTAGTAGCAGTAAGAAGGTGTCGGAGTACGGGATGAAAATTTCTACGGACGTTTTTGAAGCCAGTTCGGGACACAGTCCGCTCTTCATGGAGAAACACCGGGCAAGCATTGTGCAGGTGTGAGGTGGATAGAGGTGGTAGTAGGGCTGCTACTGCTAGTACAGGTCACCCAAACTTATGATGGATATGGATTAGATTTTCCGCATTGATTCGAATTTCTTCGTACCTCTTCTCACAGATTGATGAAAAAAGTTTTAGCGTCAGAAGTTTGAACGATTTGTATGATTGGTTGTGCCAGAGTCAGCCTCAGTAATGGAAAAATGCACCTATGATAATGCAGCATAGATAGACATAGACAAAATTCATGGTAACTTTTTTGGAAACAAGAAAATCCCAAGATGAATTATCGGATCAACATACTCGTTTTTGTCATGGCACGCACCGCGAAGTAGTAGAGCGCAATGTCATCTTTGACTTGTTTTTTTGGACAATTTCTTGCCAAGCACACGTTTCAACATAAAGATTTCTATTCCTTGTTTTCCTCGAAGATTAATCGCACCTACGGGGGATGATGTTGAACTCATTCCGTCGCAGCGTCGTGTCTTGATGTGTTAATGTTCCAGCTTCATCTCATCACCTGAATGCTAAGGGTCGTACTATCACCGTAAAAAATCCATAGGACAAGATTCTTCTCGCGCTCGAGTCATAACCAACTGCAGCTGGAGCATCTTTGATATTGGACAATGATGACAGCGAGCACTCTAATCTGCCATCAAATCTGTAATTTTATTTTCGACGACTGCGCTTGGGCTTGTTGCACGCTGCACTGAATTAACTTAGAAAGAAAAATGCTTCGCTGAGGACATCAATACAAGTGGAATTTGCGTCTAGTAAGCATCCAAGGCACCGAGGAGAAGTTTGACACAATCTTCACGTCGAAGAGTAAATTTTTACGAGTTGTAGTACTTATTTTCTATAACAAGAGAATGCCACTCCCATTTTTCGTGCAATCTATTTTAGGGACGTCGGCCCTCTTCTCGTTTTTTTCCCTGTTTTCCTCACATTGCGCTGACTCGGTGCAAGGTTTTAGTCGTGTTGAATCATCTTATTTGAAAAGCAAGATCAAGAAGAGTAACGCACGCAAAAAATCCAAATTCAAAAAAATGGGCTCATCTTCCTCCAGCAAGGCTGTTTCACCAACATCCTCAATCCCGATGAAGATCTTGACGAACAAGAACACGCAAGCCACGATGAAAGGTGGGAGTAAAAAGTCTCCGTCTTCCCGCCCATCGCTCGATATCATGAATCTCGTTGTTCAGACAGAAGCGAACAAGAAGAAAGCGTCATCTTCCCAGTCAAAAGGTGCAGCTTCTGCTGCAGCTGTTGCCGGTTCTTCGTCTCTCTCCTCGACGACCGGCGGTCCGTCGAGCGGTAGTTCCTCTAGTTCTTCCTCTTCCTCCTCTTCCAAACGCAGGGGCCATGGAGTTGTATCGTCCACTGCGGGAGCGGCCCCCGCTGGAAATAAGCCCAGATCCATCTCGATTTCCTCCACCTCCAGCAGCGCCAGCATCTTCGCGAACCAGATGCCGGCGAAGATGAAAGTGCAACCACAACAACAGCAGCCGATGAAGCGCGTGATGCCGCACCGAAACTGCAAGGTGGATTACAGTGACGCTATGCCACATGCAGCGAAGGCGTATGAACGGATGCGGGAGAAACTTGCGGCGCGGGGGGAAAAGCTACCGGCACTGAAGATGAACAAGATGAAAGCGAAGAACAGCAGTAGATCTTCGCGGTCAGGCTCCATTTCATCTTCGAGCTCATCTGCGGCATCGATGTCCTCCTCGTCGAAGAAGATGAAACAGGTCATCAAGCCTTCCGGCTCTGCGAAGGGCGGTAAAAACGCGATGAAAAAAGCAACTTCGACTCCTTCCAAATCTTCGTCCTCATCATCCCGGCGGAGCAAGAAAAGCGACGACAAGGTCGACGAGGTGCTCCACATGACTCTGGAAGTGGGGCCGTTCGAGGTCATGGTCACGGGGGAGAAAAAAATCGAATACAGGGAGTACAAGGACCGGATGCATTCGCTCTTCGTGAGCAAGGAGAACCGCGCCGCTGGTGATTTCAACACCTTCCGGAAATACAAAGTAGTCCGGTTCAAAAACGGCTACCAGTCCAACGCGGCGGTCATGGAGGTCGAGTTTAAGGGGATCCGGAAGAGCAAGGAGGCGGTGGATCAGCAGTTTTCGAATGGCTTACATGTGAAGTTGAAGAAAGGGGTGACCCACTACGAGATCGACCTCGGGAAGGTGCTGAAGGTGGAGAATTACGACAAGGAAAAAGCCCGGGCTATGACGCAGAAGAAGTATTTCGGCGTGCCGCTGCCACTGAAGTACAGAACTAGCAGCGCCATGAAGAAAGCTGCAATGAAGAAAGTGCAGCCGGGGAAGACGCAAAAGAAGTGACGACGAAGCTGATTCGCCTATCTCCTGCGTTATAAGTATGTGCTCACAGTCACCCCTCAGCCCTTTGCCCTTTGCCCTTCCGCATGTAACTCGATAAAGTCCTGCAGCTCATAAGTTCTAGAAATCTTTTACATCACCCTTCCGGTTTTGATGAATCTACACGCATTGTTGTGCTTCTTCTACTGCGCCTTGGTTGAACTACGAGTAAAAAGATGCTTCGCAACCGCTCATCTCATTTCAACAAGCAAGTACTAAAATATGCACACACAAATCCAAATGCGCGTCGAAATGTACGATAAATTGCAAACGTCGCTGCAGCTGGAGCTGTTAGCGCGATACCCTTTGATGTCTTCTATAAAAGTCTCATCGGTTTTGTACCGTTCTTTCTTTAGTCGATGAGCAGACTGTCATGTGGTGTCAAGATGTTTGTGCAGGGATATCGACCTTATTTGTACACCAAGTATGCGTTGCTGTTGCGAATGTTGATCATTTCACTTTCGTGGAAGCAGAAAAGTAATCAACGAGCAAGGGGACGCTCAGTGCAAGTGCTGCTTGACGCAGCTTTGGCTTTTGATTGCCTATACTAGCCTCCACGTTCTTGTTTTGATGTCGCATTCGCCCCGTCCTTTCGTTTTGATGATTCGTTGCCAGCATGGAAAACTGAGCGAATGCGAAGGAATGACGAGTATGAGAGTGAGAGGGAAGATCAAAGACCGGCTGTAGCGGTTGTTCTGGTGAGTGCTTTGTATCGAGGAGCAGAGTGCTATACAATGAATGGGCTTCCTCGTGTGCTTCTATCTCGCTCGTGCCCATTTCGGTGCGCCGCGTTGAAAAGCAAAAATTGAAGCTGAACACTCTTCGCAGGCAGCTGCTGCTTTACTTAGCTTCAGCTTTTTTAGCTTCTCCACGTGTACAATTTATCATCCTGCTGAGCAGCGAAAACTCCTACGAACTTACCACGAGAATGGCCGACCTCCCGCTCCGCATCGGCTATTCGCAGCCGCGAAACTTCGCGCAATGCCAGCCGGTGTTACCGAGCAACGACCCAAGCGCCAGTTTGTACGAGCAGTCGGTGGAGAATTTGGACGACTTCTATCCAGGAAAAAACACCCATCCCCATCCACTTTTTGCATGACAAATAGTGGATTTTATGCATGTTTTGCATGACAAATTGGATGGGGGTGGGTGTTTTTTCCGGGATAACTTCCGCACCGGTTTAGGCTCCATGATGTTCGCGTCGACGACGATGACGAAGTCGAATTTTCTATCAAAAGAAAAAAGTTCGTCACGATCACTCATGGGCATTTTTGCAATACAAAATTGTCTGTCATGCGTAAAAATGCATCACAGACACAGCCACACTTCATAAGGGATTTCCCTAGTGTTTCTGCAATACAAGCAGAAGTTGTGATGCTAAAAAAATTTGTAATGCAAAGCCTGCAACTTAGTGACTGTGACAAACTTTATTTTTCTCTCCATATTTTCTCGGCGCCGGTGCTGCTGGGAATAAAAAGTCGAACTACAAATCTTCCGGAGGAGGTGGACACAGCACCTCATCCAGCACTACAGCGTCGAAATCTTTACTGCAGCGACCAGCGACAGTAGACCACCAGGTGACAAGTGCCAGCGCAGCAAACAATAAAATCGACCTGGAGAGCGAGATCTATTCGCAACTTTTCGCGGAAACCGCAAGTGCATTTAACTCATCAAGGTCGAATAAAATGAGCAACAAGACTCGAGGAGGCGCAACAAGTAGTGTGAGGACCGCGTCAGAAACAGCTGCGACTAAGCGACCATCCACTTCTGCCGCCGACGGGGCAACGGAAACCACAAAAGGGAAGAAAAAGGCCACCATCAACGCCCCACTACCGGAGTCAACATCGTCCTTGACAAAGGATTTGAGTCCGAGTTTCAAAAACACCGAGCCGTTTCGCTGCGACGCGAGGATCACCTCGAGATCTACCTTCGACGAGTACTATCCTGTGCAAAAGTATCGCGCTCGTAGTAAAATTGCAGTCCTGCATTACAAATTCTTTTCGTAAGGTAAATCTGCACGACAGATTTCACTTCTCATGCTGTCTGAGGAAATTTGTAATGCATTTATACGAATGCGATACTTTTGCAATGCATAAGTACATCAAACAATCCAACGAGGCGAAAAGACTCGGGATCTCCCGGAAGGAGGTCGAAATCGAGCAGAAACTGCGGAAGAAACTGACTTACATCCAGAAACAGCAACGGTTTGATTCCTTAGTCAAGTCCGACGGGACCTTCAAAAGACAAGTTTGGGCGTCCATGATCAAGGAGGGGTTGATCGGGTACAATAAGACGAGTAAAAAGGCGCAGGCGGAAATGGGGGCCAGAGACGCTCTATGCATTGCAAAAGTATCGCACTCGTATGAATTGCAACTATGCATGACAAACTAGTATGTTAATACTTGAATCAGCATTACAAATTCCAACTTGAACTTTCTTCTTGAGAAAATTTATCATGCAATTTAATCGTAGTGCGATACTTTTGCCATGCATACGCGCAGTCTTTCCTCCAATTACTCGTCCGGCGATTCGGCACCATCATGCGTGCGTGGCGGAACGGGTTAGATTTGGACGGGAACGGGAGGATTAGTTACTACGAGTTCTGCAAAGCGGCGAGGGCGATCGGGTACGAGTCGAGTTTGCGGCAGCTGTGGAATGATTTGAATGACAACGATGATAAAGCGTTCATCACGCTAGACGAGCTAGACGTGGACACCTTCAACCGCATCAACTACTTCAACGACATTCTGACGAGGAACTTCAGTTCTTTGAAAGAGGCCTGGCTCTTCTTCGACATTGACAAGCAGAACCAAATTTACGAGAAACAGTTCCGAATTGCGCTGGTATCCACAGTATAATTCCCGTACACGTACAAGTGCTGTCTCTCTCTCTGCATGGCAAAACTCGGCGTCGATCGTAGTTTAGCATGACAAGTCTCGTCGCACTCCCGATTGGGGAAATTTGTCATGCGTCTTGTACATCAGGTGCGGGAAATTTGTATTGCATAGCTGGTGGACAAGTTGAATTTCGACACGGCGAAGTACGTATCAAATGCAAAAATGTCTGGGTCTGGCAGAATGCAGATTTTTGTCATGCTGTTTTTGCATGACACAAAATGTCTGTCATGGAAGCCCTAGCATCACAGATTTCGAGAAGCCTCCGCGTTGCTTAATCCGCATGACAAACGTCGCCCCATTTCGGTGACAGGAAATGGGCGGCTTTTGCTGTCTATGCATGAGAGATTTGTCTGTGTTGTGTTATTCGCATCACAAGTTCGCACCCTTCCAGACCCAGACATATTTGCAATGCATAGTACGATTTGAAGAAACTGTATGAAGATCTGGACTACGACGGCAACGGGTTTTTGACCTTGGATGATTGGCTGTTCCTGAAGAAATGGGTGACCAGCAACGACTGCAAAATGCTGGAGGAGTTCAGGAAGGTATAGATTCTTGTGTGTTTTGCGCATAGCAAACCGCCTTTTCCATGCACGGTTTTGCATGACAAATTCAAAAAATCACACAACCCCAGGTCCTCCGCTCGAAATATTTCAAGCCGACCGACGCGTTCTACAAAGTTTTCGATGTCAACAGGAACGGCTCCATCGACCCATTGGAGTTCGTTGAGGGGTGCAATAAGTTGAAACTGGAGAAACACATCACCGAGATTGCCATCAATCCAAGACGCCTCTTCGAACTCCTAGACGCCGACGAGTCGGGGGAGATTTCCGTTTCGGAGTTTATCAAACTTTTCACGGCTACCGAATCCTCGGAGAACAAAGTAACCGCGGTGGACGAGCACAACCCTCTGCCCGCGATCCAGAAGGAGATCCAGTCGAAATTCGGGTGTATTGTGGATTTGGAGGAACTGCAACAACCATTGAAAAAATCCTACCAGTTGTACGACGCGGTATTCCGCCGGTTGGAGGAAACGGAAAGAACAGATTTGCACGAGCTCATCAACTACCAGTGGACGGGGCCGGACGAGAGTTTGATGAGCAGAAAATCGAGGTCGAATAATTTGTTCGCAGCTGACGGAACAAATAAGCCGACAGGAGAAAACAAAGAGCATGTCAGGAAGATCTACTCGGCTGACTCGATCCAAGACATCGCGGATTTGGATTTGTTACTGCAACAGGCGGAGCTGGCGCAGGCGTTTTTGAAACGGGCTTTGTTGAAGGAAGAAGTGCTGAAAGAGAATGGGATAATGACAACAGTTAGTACAACGAGTGGAGCTGCAAGTAGAAGCAGCACTAAAACCTCCTCCAGTCCGGCCGACGACCCGTCAAAAAATTTCGACGCGCAGGAGTTCAAGAAGAAAATCGACCAGATTTGGCCGTCAAAGACGACAACGAAGTCTTCTTCTCTGCTCAAGTATGCACTGCAAAAGTATCGTAAAAGGTACAAATACATATACAAATTTCCTCAGCATGGGAGCTGCATTTTGTCATGCTGTTTTACCATAAAAACAAGAGTTGTCATGCATAGTTGCAATTAGTACGAGTGTGATACTTGTTTTGCAATGCATATCAAGCACCCTTTTCAAGAAGCGTTTGATCCGGCGATAAAGTCGAAGAAGCGGTGCATCGAGAAAGCGAATTACAAATACGAAGCGACGTTATCCACAGTAAATTTCCCGTACTCGTACAAGTGTGGTTTCTGCATGACAAAACTTGCGTGGCTACCGTTTTAAGGTTTAGAGAACGACAGGGACGCCCAGCCCTTAGCTTCCCAACATGACAAAACTTGCACTCAATCCTAGTCCAGCATGACAAGTTGGGCTCTGCAAGGTAGCGAAATTTGTCATGCATTTTGCACATGTACAGGAAATTTACATTGCATAGACGTATGGGAAAGCGAATAAGTTCAGGCGGATTCGGGACGTCGCGAGGATTTCCCTGCACTTCAACAAATGTAGGGAATTGTTGTCCGCGTTGAAGTATGAATTGCAAAAGTATCGTACTATTATAAATTGCATTACAAATCTCCTCAGCGTGAGAAATAAAATTTGTAATGCGGTTTTAGCTAAGGAAGGCGATTTGTCATGCATGTCTGCAATTAGAACGAGTGCGATGCTTTTGCAGTGCATATGAAGCAATTAGACGAGTTCTACAACGTGATCTCCATCGACAACCGGATGAAGTATCCGACGGCGCTGGGGTGGAGAGACTTCGCCGCGTTAGTGATGATTGAATTGCCGAGTGAAAACCAGAAGAGCCCCGAGATGAAGAAACACGTCTGCGAGATACAGTACAACTAAAGGGATGTGTTGATGTTTGCTGATGTCGAACGCTTTTTGTGATGCAACTTTTTGAGAAGAAAATAAAAATCTTGCCGTATGTTCTTCAACTGGCTGCGCCAGAACCTGTGATGCAAAAAATCTTATGATCCAAAGAAACCGACTTATCAGGCTCCAACTGACTCCCTTTAACGTCGCGCGGAAGCAGGCCCACCAATACTACCGCACTTTGCGCGAGAAAATCCCGTCATTAGTCCAGTCGAAACAGGCCGACGCTTTGCAGGAGGCGATTCTCGACAGTCTGCAAGCCGTGCGGAAATCGGAATTCTGTTCCCACGTGACCGTTATGAATTGCAAGAGCATCGTACTAGTAGTAATTGCATTACAAATTACCTCAGCATGACAAATGGAATTTGTCACGCTGTTTTACCTTGGGATGTAGATTTGTAATGCACAATTGCAATTACTACGAGTACGATACTTTTGCACTGGATGACCGTCGGCGTCGATATGGACCGTTCGAAAGTGTGGACCCAGCCCTGGTACCAAAACCCACTGGTGTTGGAGGGCAGGGTCGGATCACGACGGGAAAAGATGAAGAACCAGAAAGCGCTGCAAGACCCGGAAAAAAGCGCGAATAACTCTCCGTTACTCAAAAACCAGTTCCCGAAGAGCAGACCGGAACTCCCGATCGTTTCCATGCGGACCGATTGGATGCGGGGAAACATGCACGGATCCTTTCCGCCGCCGGTACCAGATCTACGGGATAACCGGCCGTGGCTCCCGGCGGGCGGGTTGTTGAACGGGTTGTTTACCAATTTGACCGCAAATCACGAGATGGAGGACTATGTCACGGAGGGGGAACGGAACAAAATGGTGGAGAAATTGGGAAATTCACCGCCGGGGAATAAACTGTCTGGGGGGAAGAAGGGCGGAAATGAAGTCCCCGTTGGCGAGGCGAATTTTGATGAAAGGGTGAAAATGTTGGAAAAATCTCGGAAGAATCACGAGAAGAGAAAGCGGGAGTACTTGCAGAGTCGGTGAAGATGGGGGTAAGAACATTGAGGAGGGGGATGGCGCCTATCATCTGGTGCTGTGGTGGAAGCACGTACTTCCTCTAACAGTATCCTCTCGGTCTCGTGCTACTTCTATCAAGAATCACTTCCCAGCAGCAGAATGGCTGTAGACTTTCATGTACCTGCAGCTTGCTAAAAGACTTCCTTATTTTGATCTAGTACAGTACAACTTAGAGCGAAAGCGAATTGAAGTCATTGCCCGTGCTTAATATATCAAGATGTATGATGTTAATCAGTTTCAAGACGAAGACAGAAAACAAGATGTGGTCACGCTAGGACTCGTCAGGAAGAGCAGGAACAAATTGGTTGGATTGCACTTGCTAATGTACTGCATTGCTTGTATAGAAGCTAGCGCCCGTATCAACAATTAAACACGAGCTATAATTCGGCAGGACAAGAGACAGGATCAGATGGAGCGTTGGTCGTGGATGAAAGATGCTTTTGTAATGTCGTGTGATGGTCGTGCCCCCCGTGTAGCAACTACCTAGGTGAGGATGTGCGCGCTCAAGTTCAGGAAGATTCTTACGCGAGCAGCTGTCTTCTTCATCTTCAAAGATGAAAGCTACAAGTTCATCACATGGATCTGGATCATTTCCTCCGCGTTTTTGAAGCCCTTCATGTCGTTTGATGACCGCAGGAGTACTAAGAGTAGAGAGGCAGAGTATTAGACAGAGACCACACACAGTGTAGCTGATTCTGATCTTCTGGTTCGACCCAGCCCACCACAGATCTGTGGCGAGGATCATTGTGACTTTAGATCATAGTCTTTTCAATTCTTTGGTCGTCTATCATTTTCCACTAGTATTGGTGTTTTCATCTTTTTGCTGGTCGGAGAAGGTAAAAGTAAATGTTGTTTGGTCGTGGATGAGGAGATTATGATTCAGTTTGTGTGGATGATGATGTTAACCTACTACTTTTTCGTTTATCCCATTTCAACGCTCTGCATTAGCTGATGAAAACGAGAAGTTGATCGATGGCGGGCAAAAAGTCCAGACACTCCTACTCGGACTCCTCCGCGGGGGAATCGCGCAGGAGGACCGAACGCCGGCGAAAGCAGCATAACGCAATGCCTAAGCAACATGGGACAACGAGAAGTGACAAGGTCAAAGGCGAGCCTTCTGCTGGCGAAGATGTCCCCCGCCGCGAGAATAGTGCTCGTCCGTACAACGATGGCCTTAAACCGAGGCGGGAGCGAGATCTCGGCAATGACGATGGCGTGACGAAGGGGACGAGCTCGCCACGTGAGAAAAAGGAACAAAAGAAAAAAAAGTATAGTAAGTACCATAAAAGATTTTGATGTTGAGTTTTGCTCTCATCGGTGATGCGTGATGGTGATGGTGTGTGGTGAGTTGAATCAAATTTCTTAAAACTGAAAAACTACACACAGGAAAAATCGCCGCCACAGTGGTCCAGATCAATCGCCCTCTTCGTCTCGCGCTTCAAGCTCGGCGCAAAAAAACGTCACTCGCTCGGAGCGCAGAACAAAGGAGAAAAAAGAAGATGAGTTTGAGCGAAACTACAAGGTTCGACGTGGTGAGAGGAAGGGGCAATCGCAGGCTCCAACGCCGCGCACAAACCGGAAAAAAACTCCCCATCACAAGAGTGCCAACATCTCTGGTTCCGATGCTGCACTCGGAGATCGTGACAGGAGCCGGGGAATCGTACAACCAACTTCGGGATCTTCCTCTGCGGAATCGTACAACCGTGTGGGCAAGAACACGGCTTTCATCCCGGATGGGTCTACTAGGGAGAAGGGGAAAAAGAACCACGTCTGGAAATTGACGCCAGAGGAACTGGAAATACAGCGGCAGGCCTTTGCAAAGCGGCCCGATCGCATGGTTGTTCCGCATTTGGCTGGTGCTGCTGCTGCTGCTGCTCCAAGAGCCCGCTGCTCATCTCAATCGTCAAAGAAAGTGGAGCCACCAGATGTAGCTCCCGCAGCGGAGGAGGACGCAACTGCATCTCCGGGTGGAGCACCCACGGGCAGTCGCAGCACGAAAGATGTAGACCCCGGAGGGAAAACTAAAAAGGAACGGAAGAAGGATGAAAAAAAGTCGAGAAGGCAAAAAGAAGAGCGGGTAGCTGGATCAAGCTCTAGGTCTAGGAGCCCCCGCGGCAGTCGAAACGGGTCCAATCCTCGACGTAACGCGAAACTTAAAGTTCCGAGCATAGCCTCCCGCAAAAGTCAAGCTGCTGACGCGACTGGGCAAGAAGAACGTGACGACAGAGCAGCTAGTACTATGCGCCGAAGATCTCCTACTACAAATCGGCCTGCTGACAAGAAGAACGCTCCTGGAGTAGATCCTGAGACCACTTTTGCTGGCGGCTTTCTTGGCAAATACGGTGAGGTGATTGGTTGCAGCTCCCTGACTACATCGTCGAGCGAAGAGGACGAACGTCGCAGGCGTGAAAAACGGCGGCGTGGCGAAGAACATGTTGACAAAGACGCCAAATTGGCAGGTTATCGCGAGCGCGATCACGAGATGAAATCCGGCTTTTCGAGAGAATCACGGCAAAGGCGATGTGATCGTTCTAGCACGGACGACGAGGTAATAAATGCAAGTACTCAATTGGTAGCAAGTCTTCGATGCAGTGAGGAGGAGCTGCTCGTTCCTTTCATCAGGCTATGGCTCGTATTAACTACGTATTGACCTTTGCATTTTCTAAATCGATTATTTTGCTTTTTATCCCTCTCTGGTGTGTCTTTGCTTCAGCAGTTCATCTTCGTGCTGACTTTTTATTGTCTTCAAATCTACACACAGTCACTCACCGTCAAGGATGAACTCCTCGTGGAACCTGCTGGTGCAAATGATCCTGCGCAAGAAAGCGCCGGCGTGGAGCAGCGAAACATTGCCGATACGCTTCAGAAGACCGCTACCGATCGTTCCAACGATGGAGGTCCGGTAGAAGACGGAAAATCCCAGTCAAAACTTGGTGGACCTCCGGGTGCCGTCGTGGCATCGTCTTCTACTGCACACCTCGAGCAGGAGACAAACCAGCTGGCAGAATCAGGAGATGAACAAGACGAGGCCGCAGATGAACCAGTCCGGCTCACCCTACCGGACAACGTTGCTAGCCAGCACGCCTGGTCTTTGGAAACTACGAAAAATGCCCACTCGTTCCTGTTGCAAAACGAGGAGTGGCCAGACTTCCTGGAAAAACTCCACAGCGTGTCGTTCCCCCCAGTAGCTGCTACTCCGACGACTGTTCAAGATCCGCACGAAAAAACACTGCTCGTTACCGACGATGCAGCCGAACAGGAACACGAGGATGAAGACGCTTCAAGGTCCTCGTCCGATAGTGCGTCGGTACTGTATCTGGCTCTGGCCCTCCAGAAACTTGCGGGACGGCTGGAGGCAGGCGTAGGCGTGACGCAATCTTCTTCGAAAAAGACCGGTCGCCGCTCTACCCCGGCACCCTCCAAGTTCATTCCGTTTCAACTGCGATCCATCATCACAGAAGCTGTGAAAAGACACGTTGTGCACCGTACCCCAATAGCGGTCGTTTCTCTCGCGGGAGAGGAATCAATATGCACTGCAAAAGTATCGTACTCGTAGTAATTGCCGGATGCATGACAAATCTCCTATCTTAGGTGAATCAGCATTGCAAGTTCTATTTTTCTTCTTGGAGAAATTTGTCATGCAATTCCCACTAGTTGTACGATACTTTTTCTTTTGCAATGCATAGTCCACAACTGAACCACCGCTGACAACCTGGACAACCTGGAAAAAGCCGACTTTCTGCGAGTCGGTTCTACGACAGTGCACAACTCCCGCCCCTCCCCCTCATTTGTCATGCAAAATACCGAGTCCACATCTTGCCTTGAAGGATTCGGCGCATGACAAGTTTTGGACGCCCAAACAGGACTACATTCCAGGTGCGGATTCATTGTCATGCAAAAGCTACACTTGTGGCATTGCTTCTGTTGCTGCTCATGCTATATAAATGAGGGGGAGGGCAAGTTGTGCACTCTCATAGATTCGTTCGGTGCTACACAAACAGCAGAAATTTATCGTTGAGCAGGAAAGCGAAACGTTTGGAAAGGAGCAGCACGCCCTGCTCGGCTGCGCCCACCACTGCAGCGAATCCGAATTGCAATTCTTTGCAGACGATTTGCCCGGGTTTGTGGTCTTCGTACTGACGTTGGCGAAAGTGGTCGAGGTGGAGCGGGTTTTGCTGCAGTTACGAAGGGAGGAAAGGGAGCTACTGGAGGAAGAGGAAGATGAATACGAGGAAGATCATGATCCGGAGATGGACGCTGCCAGCGGCCTTTTGGAAATCGCCGAGAAGGTGAGGAAAAAAATCCGCAGTGACAATTGGAAAAAGGGGCTGAAGACAAAACTGCTGGAGCGTCTGGAAACGATCTCGGCGAAAGATCTTTTGGTCGTTGGTGGAGGTTCATCATCGTCGGCGTCAGTCAGCAAGAGATGCAATATCACTGTCAACTTATCGAAAAGCCCCTACATGTTGATCTTTCTCTCTCGTCTCGTCAAATCCACCCAGGGCTGCAACGTCGATCTGTTCGGTATGGCGTTCTCAAACGTTACATTCTCAGCTGTTACATGATCTGTCATGCAAGAACAGCAATAGTGAAAGAGGCAAGATTGCAGCTTTCGCATTACAGACTTTCCACAGATTATCATGCTGCTTAGCCCTTCGAAAATTTGTCACGCTAAGCACCTTGATCAAGTGGAGGCTGATGGCAATCTTGCATGACAAATCCGTGTAACAGTTGAGAATGTAACAGTTGAGAGCGCCATACTCGGTTTGTTTTCAGAAATCGACCGGATTTGTGGAGAGAAACTCGATAAGGAATCCGACCGGGACATGGCAGAGTACGAACATGGAAAGGACCTGCAAATCCTCCTGGCTGTTTTGGCGGAGAAAAAAGCGGAGGCGGAGCGGAAGAAGCAGGAAGATGAGCTTCTTCGGTCTCTCCGGTCTGACGTGCAGCAGGCTGTGCAGCAAGCCGTCGCAGTGGATGGTCCGCGAAATAAACTTAAACTACACAGTCGCACTATGGATGAACGGGAAACGGGCGCGAGTGTTGTCGTGATCGGTGGCCGCGACCTGGCCATGGATGACAACTTCGGGGGACTGGGGGTGCGAGACAATCAAAGAAATTGCGCAACGCCACACAGCCACATGATGAACAATGACAGCCCCTATAGTTGTGCAGGTGTTCAAGATCATATGGTGTCTGGAAACTACGCTCGTCGCGCGGGTGCGCAAGTCCAGCTGGGAGACCAAAGCTTCGTCGTATTTTCGCCTCGCCCAACGTCTTCGCGAGACGTTTCCGTCGGGTCTACTTCGCGCCGCGATAGCCACCGAAACAAGCACATTGGCGCGAGGAGAGAGATTTTTGGCGGGCAGGAGGAAAGTGCAGGGCCAGATGATCTCCCTTCTAGTTCTAAGCATAACCTCCGGGTGGAACAGCAGCTACAGCTACTATCCCCGACAGCATCCGACTCCGACAGCAGTTTTTTACCGGTGTCGAAGGAGAAGGGGCGTTTAGGACGAGACAGAAAGACGGCACAACTCCGAGGACACGACTATCCACAGTAAATTTCCCGTACACGTACAAATGCAGTCTCTGCATGACATAACTCGCCTTCAATCCTAGTCCAGCATGACAAGTTGGACTCTGCAAGGTAGCGAAATTTGTCATGCATTTTGTGCGTGTACAGGAAATTTACATTGCATAACGACAATAACAATTCTTCTGGGCGAAGGTTACGCCAACATCGCGCAGAGCTGTACTCCAATCCCAGCGACGCTTGCTCGGACGGGGATGGTGGAGGTTTTTTCAACGACGCAAGTAGTCTTGACGAGGAGAAAGATCGTTCGCGTTCCCGAGATAACAGGATAAGAGCCGGACAAGTCAACAATAAAGGGTCGCTTTCTGGCACGAGGCGGAGAAGCGCAAGCTCGTTAGATGGTCGGAGCTCTTCGTCCTGCGAGGACCACGACAACAGACCAGCTTCGCCAGAGAGTAAATCTCGCGGAGTTTTTAGGTTTCTGCATCAGCACCTGCTCGACGAAATAAAAGACGAACAGAAAAAGAGAAGCTGTAGAAACAACAAGAAACGGACCAACGGCGCGGCTGCGGACGAGCAGGATGTGGATGCCAATTTAGCGCCGAAAAATAGAGATACACCTCTTCCGAGCACGCCTCCTAAGGACAAGAGTACTGCTCAACAAGATGAAGAGCAGCCAAGTACATCATCGCGATCGCCGGATATTAATCACGACAAAGCAGATGTCGTGTCTAGCTCGCCCAATAATTTGCAGAAGGTTCTTGATCGGGCCCTTCTTTCGGCATCATCTCGTCTGGACGAGAGACGCGACGACGAGCAGCCCATCTCGGAGTCGGAGCTGAGGTTTGAAAATAAAAAGTCCAAGAAAAAAGAGGGTGAACAGTCGGTAGATCATACTCGGCACGAGGACACTGAGCGACGTATAATCCCCGCAGTGGACTACAAAAACCGAGTGGCGGGGTCGTGTGGAGACGTGTCAGAAGACAAAGAAGGCCAGAGCCAGAGCGGGTCCCGTAATATCGTGCATGCAGCTCTAGATAAGGATGACGCGGCTCGCATCACGGCAACAACTGCAGTTCCGTCACCGACACTGGACGAAAATAAGTTCCACGAGGCAGCGGACGATTTTATTTCAGCGAATGGGAATGCACTTCCACATGCGGCCTCCTGTGCTCGGCAGACCGAATATCAAGTCTCTGCAGAAGCACAAGGCGACGATGCGAAATCTTCGAATGGTGCATCGCCCCAAACTGCAAGAAGGGAGTGTAGCCGACCCGAGTCTCCTTTCGTGTGTAGTAAAACTCGTCGAAAAAAAGGAATTCCTTTTTGCCGATCGCCGCCCGGGCTGGGAAGTAGTAGTGCACAAGACGAGACGCTGCGATCGCTCGAGGTCAAGGAGGAGGATTGTCGTGAAGATGTGCGTGACACGCTCGTAAGTGTGACTGCCTCGTCTACCGATCGAAGAAAAACATCACATCATCGACGAGAAGTTGCACAACCTTCAATGTCGGACGGTGCGAGTAGAAGTAGTTCTACTTCATCTTCCTCTTCTTCTCCCCGGCGGCCGAAAGGAGATCAAGACGCGGTTGCAGGTGAGTCACCTATTACAACTTCGAGGTCGTCAACATCGTCACCCATTGTACCGGTGCGCCGATCTTCTTCTTCAGGCATAATTCGCGCTAAGACTACTGAAGCCAGAAAAAAGATCCGAAAGACAGAGAAAAAGCCAGCAGCCTCTTCCCCCGGCTCCCTCAGCAGTGAACAGCCATCCCTGCGGTACCGTGGCCCCTCTGCGCTAGTGTCGCGTCGCGGTCCGCATGCTCGTCCTTCTTGGCGCCCAGGTTCCACTCCGCCTGACATTAGAGTAGAACGGCGCAGACGGCTGTTGGCGGACGCGCAGGCTGTGCTTGACACGACTCCGCCCTCGGATCCGCGCCACGAAGCGTCGCTAATCGTGACTACGGAAAAATCTTCAGAAGAGTCGAGCGGGACGACGAGCAGGAGCTCTACATCTACTACTTCTTTTTCCAGCGATGAGGATAACCATGAGCAGGCCGCTAGAAGGCGGAGCAAAAGTCGTGGCGCAGACCATGACGCAGCTTCTACATCATCTTCTAGCACGACCAGCAGCAGCGGCTCGCGCGGTTGCTCGGTTGTAAGAAGCACGAGCAAGATTGCAAAGAAGCCGTCTGCCACGTCACGACGTGACCAACAACCACATCACGATGTTGTGCAAGAACGCCGAGGAGGACCAAGAAACGACTTCAACAACCACAGAAATCTTCAAGAAGCGTCATTGTCTGCTGGTGGTGCTGTCGCTGCCAACAGTTCCGCGGCGGGGGCCGCGGAGATGGGCTTGAGAAATTTCGAGGACCGCTTCGATCGCGGCACTAGGCATGACGTCGGCAGGTGCCAACCCATTCAGGTTCAGCCTGAGGTGTGGCGGACGCGGGACCGGCTGAAGATGCGAACGGGCCAACCCGAGCAGCACCGGGGCCAGCAGCAACTACCCGCGCCAGCAGAGGAAGGCATCTACGGGAGCATCGGCAATCGCGAGCGCCCAGTGTATTGGGATCCCTACAGACCAGGGGGGACGCAAGAAACAGCAGAGCAGAACGACAGACAGCTTCGGAAATTTTTAGACAAGAAAGGCCGACAGAGAGCAAATTGTCCCCGTCCTACGATTCAGCCGGTGCCCGTTCGGGTCATGTCGGGTCTCGGGGTTCAGCAGGCGTATGATTATTTCCGTGGGAGCCGCATGGACATGCCGGCAGCGAGGATAGCAACGAAGTACGTCGCGCCCTCGGGGCCTCGCGCTGTTGCTCGATCTCGCCCAGCTGCGCCAGATGTCAGAGCGGGCGGCCCTTCCCCTACCAGCAGGAGAGGCGTTCGCGTTGGACCCCCATCCAGGATGAAGAGTAAGCAAGGGAAGACGCGCACTTTTTCGCCGGGGCGCAACCGGAACCACGCAACTGCGGACGAGCAACGCAACGGGAGCCGAAAGCAGGACCGTCACACTCAGCGGGTCGCCGCGCAGAGGAACCACGCGGCTGTCGCACGCCGGCAGGACGGAAGGAGTAGCACAAATCAGAGAAATTATGCGAGGCACAGCCCATCTCGTTCACCTCCGTTAGAGGTGGCCCATCAGCAGCACCGGAGCCAGGACCCGCGAGAGCAGCGTATTCTACACACCATCACGCCGCGACCGGGCCGACCCGGTAGGCTTAATTTCGAGAAGGCTATGACACTGCCAACAATGTCAAAAGCCTGCATTGTTCTCAGTTTTTTTTTCCGGGCTCGCTGCAGCTTTTGCTATAGTTTTAGAATTTGATCAAAGCAGCTTCTGCTATGTCAGCTTTTGATGCTATATTTTTTTGAGAGTCTTTGCTTTGACATTGTTGGCAGCGCCATTATACCGACCGCGATGCAGCAGGTTTGGCTGATATCCATGGAAAATAAGAATCTAAACTGCGCTATCGTGCACGAATCAGACTCTGATGATATGATGAACTATGATTCGTCTTCGCTTGTTCTCACGCAAGATGTAGATGCTATGCGCCACTATTCTCATGGCAACCACATTCTTGATGGCACTCGTACCATTATATGATCCGTTTTTACACAATTTCCGATTCATCCGTGCGGAATTTCTATGAAATTGGCAGGAGCAGGTGCAGCCAGGAATGAGTAAACAAATTTGCCACGGTATTGCTCATTACTTCAGTGCAGTTTTGTTCCAGGATAGCTTGCCTCCCAGCCGAAGAGCCCTGGGATACCGAGCCAGATTTGCGACCACTTGCACTGTTTTCAAGCGGACTCCAGGGGCAGGCACCATCGCATTCCCTATTACGAACCCATAGTAGACACTGGAAGCGGCGCCGGGATGTTCTGCATGTTGTGCGACAAGATTGCCGATAGTGCTCACTGCCAGTCGGAGGCGCACCTGAAAAAAGCCGAAGTATTCGAGATGATGCACGAAGCCGACCGGGCAAAGCGATCGAAGTTGCTGCTCCCCTACCCGGAGGCGCCGTGGGTGATGTACAAGGTTCACCGCAACGGGTATTGCTTTCTGAAAGACGAAGCGGACTGGTGGCCTTATTGTTTGTTGTGCGCTGGTATCCTGTGCAAACAAGCATCGCACTCGGGTACGTGGGCTGCTACCTTGCATATGCATGACAGATTGCCGCATGACAAGCGCAAGCTATTTGTTGCTTAGTACTTCTTTGCTGGGATGAATTCAAACTGGGTTGTAATGCGTTCTATACTAGTGCGATACTTGTTTTGCGAAACTTCATACGGGAGAACGGGGGGCACGATATCACGCGGAACTATGAATGCCGCTGGTCCTTTCCGCTCGACAAGGACACCCCGCACATCTGCGGCCCGGTCGGGGCTGGAAAAAACAACAAGTCGCAGGGCCGCTGGCATGCGGAGTTTGTCCGTGAGTATTGGGCCAAGCCGGCAAAGCGGCGGGAGGTGGAGAGCCAGCGGAAAAGGATCTACGAAGCGGACAAGGAGTATTACAACTACCGCTGCTGGGAGGCAGGCAGCACGCGGGGCGCGATTGTGCGGCGGGCGGGGCACAAGTTGATGGATTGCGGAAAGGACGAAGATGAGGACTGGTTGTCGGGGGAGGAGGAAGATCCGAGGAAGGAGGTTTTCAGACAGAAAGAAAAGGAGCGAGAAATAGAATACGTGGAGCAGGACAGCAGCCCCCTCAGCAGCGCGCCGGCAGATCACGCGCATAGCTACAGGGGCGGACGAGGAGACGCAAGGCGGGGCAGAAACTTCTATCACCGACGAGCGGGCAGGCGAGCGGACGAGGCTACGTCTTGGCGGAACTACGTGGCCAGCCGTCGAGGCAGTCATGTCGAGAGCATTACGTCATCGGCTGCGCAAGTAGATTTCTCCTCGTTTATCAGAAGTGCAACTGATGTGACAACTGACTCCGCGTCCGCCATCAGGTTTTTTTTTTTGTTTTGTGAAAAAGTAAAAGAAAAACGCATGCACAGCATGAATATAAATTAGTTTTCAGTGCGTCGCCCCCGTCGCGTAGACTGTATAGCTTTTTTCGACGGGCTGACGCGAGTCTTGCTGCTTTGAAAACTCAAGCACATTCTTCGCATGCACACACTTCAAAGCGATTTTTGTTTTTGTACACGAGGTCCTCGCTGCTTTGCATGACAAAATGGGAGCGAGGGGTCACTTGTTGCACTTTGTGTAGTTGCATACCTCCCGACCCGACAACCTCCGACTCGGAAGAGAGCGACCAAGATCCACGCGCACCATGGAGGCAAGGCGGTAGATGGTATCCGCTGGAAATTTGCTGCACAGGATGCTGACGCACAAATTAGAACCGCCTTGCATGACACAACCAGCGATCTAGGTGTAGTGGGCCTACTTACGAAGTTCTTGCAGCATAGCCATGTGCTTTTTCTGTGCGTCCTCGTGTCGTGGGGTGCTACACTTTTCCAACTGCATAGAGGGGGGAAAGCAGGCCGTGGTGGAGTCACACCAGGAGAAGCGGGAACTACAGGCACTACTAGCCTGCCCGCCCCGGCGAAGGGCAAGGGTAAGGGAGAAGAGCTGGCTGCTGCCATGCGGGCGGAAGTAGTAACTACTGGGAATTCCAAGCAGTAAGTAGTGGAAAAAGCCATCCTGCTACGACGGGACGGCCGAGGACTTACGGCTGACGTGCTAATATTCTTCCGGAAGGTTGCAGCGAAATCAAAATGGAATTTGAGGAGCAAGAGTCACAATTAGTATCGTAAATAGTATCTTCAGTTGCATGCACTTCTACTACTTCTATCGCGCAATCGCAATGTCACAGTACTCGTCGCAAAATACGTCCACTCGCAATTTTGGTTGAATCCCATTCGCTTTTTTGAAGAAAACAATCCGCTTCCGGCACGAAAAAGGAACAAACGCTTGAGCAAGAAGATGACTGGGTATCATGAGCACGATCGCCTTGGTGTTGATCATGATCTTCTGACTCAGTAGATTTTCTACTTGGATGAAACAGCTCCAGCTTCACAAACGGCATGGATTCTCGCCTCGCCTTCGGTAACTGAGCATGCGTTCTTTCTGTCGGTTTCCTTCACTAGGAACAAATACAAAGGTGAAGACCGTTTTTCCCCACTACATCAGCTTCTGCATCTCCATCTCCCGTTATTGCTTCGTGCATGAGCGATGACGCAGATTGTACTTCGCAACAGCTGTGAAGAGTGCATCATGGAAACACAAACTAAGTACTTACACAGCGGACAATTAGGAGAGAGCGCTGTCTGACGAAGACGAGTTGTGAAGTTCTAACTTTTCTTCGTAGAGCTCCAGCATCGTCGATTGTCTGGTTTCGTGCTAGTACTCGCAGGGCAGTGATAATGAATCAGTGCCCGTACCAGGCTCAGACCCTACATGATGTTACGCAAGCCGTATTTTACAGTTATCAGAATCAGTATGAAGACGCTCGAAACAGTTTCTGCTGGATTGACTCCTACTTATTTATCATGAAACACTACCAGTAGAAGTCCCGCCTGCACATCCTAGAATTCACGAGCTGTTCCGAAAAAGAACAAAAAGCAAGATGGCGGTAGAGGATGTTTCAGCCCAGCCGAGCCATTTGGAGCATGGCGAAAGGGCGGGCCAGCCAGGTCAGCCTACCAGGAGAAGTTCGGGTCGCAGTCATGATCATGGTTCAGCTGCGTTAGGAGCAGTGCTAGCAAAGCAGGATCACCACGCATCAACGACCCCAGTCGGTGGAACTACAGGTGGCGAGCCGACGCAGCTTCAAGAAGAGATTGCAGCCGCAGGAGGAGCGAGCAGTGACCAGCTTCTAGATGACGCAAGTACAACCGCAGCAAATAAGTCGCAGGAACTTTTTTCCAGCCAGCATCAGCGGGGTGTGTACCTGATGGGCCAGCTGCTGAGCGTCGGGATCGCGCTGACGACCGGAATGGTGGTGGTTGTGGTGTAGTAGAGCTGCGAAGGTTGATGAATCCGCCTGTGGTGCCATCGTGTAACAAAACCAAGAAGAGAGTCTCCTCGCTGCAGCTTTCACAACTCCTCGTTCCTCGTACCGGCACCGAACTAGTATGAAGTAACACGTAAATCGAGAAGGGTCAAGAATCTTTATTCTTTCAGCAGGCCAATGAAGCGCTGACGCTGAGACAGACGTACGAATAGATAAAGAAGAACTCAGGTCATTTCACTGTAGAACATTCCTTGCTCAGTTTCACCATCGCTGATAACAAACAACTTTTGACAGAGTACAGTAGGACAGAACTGTTGATATACGCAAATTGCTTTGCATTCACAGAGAAACTTATCACGTGTGTTGACTCGTTCGTTCCGTTCGCTTTGTTTCGAAATTTCATCGCAGCCTGCAGAGCTTGTCTTGTGCTTCTGACCTTGTAGCAGCCGGTGGCTCGAGGAAAAATGCGACATAAAGATGTTCAACAATTTCTGTGTCGCTCCGCAAAAACGAAGTGGTGCTTTCAGCCAAGTTTTGAAGTTGAAGGCAAGCAGGATCAACCCTTCGGAGGGAGTCGAGGGCAGCCTGGCTGCTCAATAATAGAATTCTTTGTAGTTCTTAACAACGGGAACGGAATCAATTTGAAAACGACTGCGTAAAAAGACTGTAAAGAGAGGTAGCCACAGTGACAGTTCGAGGTGGACCGCCAGTTTTTTTTTTCACGCGGCAGGTCGAAATGAAGATCATGAAGATGCTGTCAGACGTCCATCGGTTGTGCTTGCTGGTCTTTACGACCTCTACACTGTTTACCCCTAAAATCTTTCCATCGCTGCTCCTACCTTGTTCCGCGCACAAGCTCACCACGAAGAAAGCAGTCGCCGCGTCCCACTATGGCACCAGCATCGCTCGATCACGCTCTATTTCAGGCGGTTCATCCCCCGGGTCGTCGATTCAATTGCCACGTGCAGCGGTGACACCGAGTCTGAGCAAATCCGCTGTGATCTCACCGTCAGCGCCAACTGCTCCATCTCCGTGCCAATTACTCGCGAAATCCTGTCAGAAATGTGTGATGAAGAAGTGCACAGACAACGCGGCGTGCTGCATCGGCTCTCTCACCACCATGATTGCGAAGACGGCGGGGCTGAAGGCTTTGGATCTGTACACCTACGATGGGGGCAGGGGAGAGTTTTATAGCAGTGCCGGAGCCACCTCTACTGCTTCCGGGCTTTTCGGTGGTGGAGGATCCTCTTCTACGCCCTTTCTCGTCACTCAACGGAAGCAAACGGTTCTGCAAACCATCGAGGAGAAATCCCGTTTGCTTGAGACGGAGCTGTGTCGGTACGAAAACGCGTTTCGCAATCTGTTCAATTCGAAGAAGGTTTATGGGCAGTTTGCCGGACAGAAAGCGGATATGGTGGCGAAGTTATTTGGCTTTGAAGAGGTGAACTACTCTGCTGTGAAATGGCCGATAGAGAAGAAAACAACTACTTCTGACGCAAGGACCACAGCGAGCATGGAAAATAATCCGAATCACAATCCGTTTCTGAAATTCATCCCAGACTGGTCATATCCTCTCGAAGAAGAATCCCGCGGGGTTTTCATCGCCCTCCTCCGTGCAATGAGCACCAATAATTACATCATGGAAGACGTGCTGCCTTCGGAAACTGTGTGGCAGGAACGAGCAATGATAGACGAGGAGGAAGCTGTTTCCTCGCCGAGGGTGAGCCAAGAGGTGTTGGACAACAAGGTCAAGGATGCGAGAGCAGAGCAGGAGTTCCTCCGTGGGCAGCGGCTCCAGACGGATCTGGAAGAGATTTTTGCAGATACGAATTTCGTGCCGCTGTCGAAACGCCGGAGTGCAAGCACGCCGACTTTTGCTCCTACAGCGACGAACAACTCAAATGGTGGGGGTAGTTCTGCAGGAGCTAATGCGTTGTCCGCGCCAAAAACGACTACAACTGGAGAAATTTCTGACGCAGCAGTACTAGCTGGCGCTGCACCACCGCGCCAACCGTCTCTGCGGAAAAGCACCAGCAGAGTGGCGATGACCAAATTGCGAGATTTGGATTTGCAAGTGGACGACGGGACGAAGCTGCACCTCTCTTCAACAATTACAAACCAGGAAAACGCAGCCGATGTCTTCCTCCAACACAAGAAAATCAGCATCGCGCCACTTCCCCTCCCCTCCTCCCCGAGGCCAAGCGAATACGCGGGAGACGAGCCGTTGTTATTTCATATCCAGGAAAAAACACCCATCCCCATCCAATTTGTCATGCAAAACATGCATAAAATCCAATATTTGTCATGCCAAAAATGGATGGGGATGGGTGTTTTTTCCTGGATATTTCAGTTCCACTTGCCAGCGGCTTTACCGCAGATTCTGTTCGGCTTTGAAGAGGCGGCTTTAGGGATTGTGAAGAGGAGAAGGAAGTACAACAGCAGCGAGCGAGATAGTACAACATATCAAGCAAAAAAGTGTTAACGTTAACGGTTTTCACAGATGGCAGTTATGCATTACAAATTTTGCCTTCCATGCATGCTACGCAACACAAATCTGGCCAACTTTTCTGTTGCGTTACTGCATCACAAATTCCGTTCACGTTAACACTTTTTGTTGTGATACAACAAGCAGTGCTGACACAAACTGTCGCGAAGAAGTAGACGATGCATCAACCACTGGCTGCACCCCGTACGCGTGTTCTCCCCACTACGATTTCGAACGCGAAGGGTCTAACGCATTACCTGTGCAGCCACGCGGCATCGTAAATTCAGGTATGGTATATCATACACGAGAAAACACAGTTTTGCGACTACCCTCCACCACCGCGCAACTACAACACCAACCACCGGAAATCGTGAAACGCCCCAGAAGAAGTTTCTGGTCCAGGTGTTGTGGGAAACGAGGCCTTACTAAGAACGCAGGAGGGGCCAGGATGATGGCACCGTACCAGCAAGATCATTACGACGGGGGCCTATCGGATATTGAGAGCGGTTTGCTCGAAAAAGAAAAAGAAGAAGACAAAGTTCTTGATAACGAGTATGCAGCAGCCAGCATGCAGAACTGCGACACCATGAGCACGGTGAGCACCAGGACTCCTTCCAGTAGCGCCGACAGCAGTTACAACTGTGGCCAATCAGCTGCTCGCTCCATGGCCATGCCTGCGAATCAGGAGGTGTATGATCAGGCGAAGATGTTGACTTCAGCTTCACAGTACAACGCAGGCAGAGGACGAACGCGCACAGCAAAACCTGCCTCCTCGTCTTCTCGCCTCGCAGCCCTTTCAAAATCCACCGAGTGCTGGCGTAAGCTGTTTTTCCTGAACCAGTGCGCCGGGCGAGGCTCATCAGGTAGTTCCAAAAAGAGGAGAAACAATCAACAGCCGCTTGGGAACTTTCTCCCATCTTCCGACCGAGGGCAGCCCATGTACCCTAGAGGGCACCAAACTTCCTGCTCGTCCCCAGATGAGGACGATTTTGATTTCGCGTGCTACGAGGACCAGTACTACTGCAACAATTTTTCTTCGGAGGATGATGAAGATCATAGCGATCATTGTTCCAACGAGGATGGAACAGATACCGAAGGGGGCTGCTCCTACAATCAGATTTCGGAAGAAAACCTGATCGCCTACCGCACGACCCAGGAGCTCCTCCTCATTTCCCTGCTACAAGCGTTAAAGCCGCTGACGAAACGGTTTGGGTTTATGCTGCGTGCGGTGGAGATATGAGAGTGCATAACCCCCGCTCCCCCTCATTTCCATCTGTATGGCATGAACAGCAACAAAAACACCGCCACACGTGGAGCCTGTGCATGACAAATTTATGTGCCTGACGTAGTACTGTTTAGACTTCCGGAATTTGTCATGCAAGCAGTGCCACAGGACAGCAACTGGATTTGGGGTTTTGCATGACAAATGAGGGGGAGTGGGAGTTGTGCACTGTGATAGGAGAAATGGGTAGAGTTTGAGGACACGGAGATTTTTGACGAAAAGCAGCTCCACTACGAGCGCATTTTCCACCAGTCAGACGCGATCCGGATGCTGCTACAGGAAATCGTCGGGGGGGAGAAGATTCCGAAAAAACCCTTTTCGTCGACCTACGGGCCGGGCGGGGGAGGAGTGATGTTTACGGCTGACGAGCTACGGGGTGAGAAGAGTAAAACGCCGGTCGGGGGAGGGAGTCTGCGCAAGGCGGTGGCGCTTTGAATGGAAGATACTAGTAGTCAGGAGGGGAGCTGCTCAAGGTCAGAGCGATGTGGGTAGAAATGGCTCCTGGAGTAGATGCCGATCATGATGACCAGCTGCTCCTACAACTTCTTTGCGTTTATGTATTTTTGGAATTTAGATCATGAAGAAATAGACCTCATGAAAGTTTTCAGTCGTCACTTCTAGCCTTCAGCAATTTGTTGATACCTCTTCACTCCTAGCGTGATGCTGGATTCGCAACAACGGGTTTTACGAGCCAAGAACTCTGTATGATCTAGTACACATTTATTCTATTGAAGCTTCAACTTGGGTTATACAAGAATACAGTCGCAGTTGGATGTTTTAGGATAACGCTTCCCGTCACGCCGATTGAGATTGTGAAGAGGAGTGCCATCGAAGTAGGTTGAGGCATGTTGATCTGTGCCGTATTTTTCATTTTCAGTTTTAATTTCTAGAAGTACAAATCTCTTTCCTGCCAAACTCACAAGCAACCACGACAAGAATGATGCTTCTTTCAGCAGATAGAGGAGCTTCACAAACAAACGAAAGATCTTCCGTGGTCCTATTCTACGCGTCTGCCTGAAACACCAAGATAACTTTTGCCAGGAACAATATTTTTGTCCGTATAAACTGCAAATGCCAGCAAGGAGGTGGTCGTTATGGTTTTATAAGCGATATCAAGAGCCCTTCGAAGAGTAGGACGCCTCATGAGGAGAAGTGGCGCCGGGTTCTTCTGCACAAGCGAATAAAACGGCACGAGCGCCGGAGAAGTATTGATTTGAAGCTATCAATTGGATCGCGTAGCGAAGAAAGAGAAACACGAAAAAGGAGTGAATCTGAGAGAAGCCTGCTGCGCTCTGTTGGCAGCGCGTTTCGAGTAGGAGTGCCGAGCGCGTCCGTCATGGATGCTCCACGTTGTGGGCCCGTGCGTCTTTCACGACCCCAGCACGAAAAGCGGCCCAATTGTAGACTGAGAGCGCACTTTGCACTTTGTTCCCGTGCCTGCTGCGCGGGCCCCCGCTCTGGCCTGGCGCGCTATCTTGCGTCCAAGTTCGCGCGCACGGCGTTCAAGAGGCTGAAAAGCGCCGCGAGTGAGGAGGACGCAGGGTTGTTCGGCAGAGGTATGGCTCTCCAGTTTCCGAACAAGTTCGACGGCCCTTGCTCGACCGAGCTGGATGATTTGGATTTCTGTGCCGAGATGGCTCCGCTCAATCATCCTCGAAGACGGCGGCGGCTCCGCTCATACTCGAAGACAGCGAGCGGCCCGGCCCCCCCCGGCCGGCCTAGCTGGGCCCCCCCCGGGCCTGCGTTCGTTGCGCCTCGTGCTTCGTATCCCCCGCCGTGACGCCCGTCTTTCCCCCTGTGCAGCAACCCGGCCCAGTTGGCAGGGAAGCACTTAAACTTATCGGGAAAGCCCGAGCACGCCGCGGCAGCCGGGGGCGGCGCCGGTTGCTTGGGCTACTGTCTGGCTAAGCCGCCGGGCCCGGGGCTCGTCTGCTGCTGGATATTCCTGGCGCGCCCCATAATGCGTTGGGGGAATTCGGTGCCAGTGCATGTGCCGCCACTGTGGGACCGCGCGTCGCACGGGTGGCCGGCGCCGTCCGCAGTGAGGAGGGCGGGCTGTCAATGCATTATATATGATTAAGTATTCAAGCGCGTGCACCGTTGCCCTCGTCCTCAGTCAGAGCTAGATTGGTGCTTTGCACGAGCTGCCCCACGGACGAACGTTGGCACGCCCGGCCTGATGTGTTGTGTCTGCCTGTGTATTTGAGTGGATAAGGCGCAGAGTGGAGAGAGGGGGCGGGGCGCGATAGCATTTTAGTTCGAGGAGAAAACGGAGGCGCTACTAAGCATGTTGTGTATAGTGGTCCTATACTTTTGCTAGATTGTATCTTCAACTTCACTCATTTCCATTTGCTGTAAGCCTTTGTCTCCAAGGACCGCCGCACAGTATCCTTTTCTCTTTACTTAAATAATACATTTTCCACCCGGAAGGGACGTTGAACCATGTCGCGCCGCCTGAAAATTGAAAACGCGATCAAAGGCCTGATCGCCGACAAAGAGGCCGCGCTGCTCAAAGCCGAGGAAGAGTTTCAAAAGGAACGGGAGCTGCGGAGCCAGGAGAAGCGGAATGTGAAGAGACTCGCCGCTTCGGCACATTTAGGAGCGCGGGATGGCGAGACGGAGAAAACGCCGAGGCGTGTGGTGACGGGAGGACTAGATTTCGGGTATAGCTAGTTTTTCATGCAAAATGAAGAGCATGTGCATTGCATGTCTGGATTTTCTGTTACGGCATTAGCTGTACGAAATACAGCGCACGAATAATCTTTACATTTACGAATGATCCTGTACTCCATCATCAAACTCTACTCAAATAAGAGACCTTCGGCCACCCTGACGGCCCCAGTTCCGTACGCCTGCGCAGTCTGTTTCGCGACAACGTCGGGAGGGGGCAGTGGTAGTGCCAGCAGTAGCTTCTCGTCCTCGTCCACCGCGAACTACACAAATTTTGCGGCGCATCAACATGGTGGAGTTGGAAATGAAACCCGCATCTCAAATTCAGCTGGAAGTAGTTCAACTCTCACGACAACTACCACACCCTCTCGGCCGCTTCGCGTCTGTCCCGCGCGGCTGCACCGCTACTGCGACAAACACTGGAAGACGTCAAGATGCGACTGTGAGCCCAGCAGTGGGAATTCGAATTGTAGTGCTAGTACTACGGCGGAGACAACTATCGACAAGCAATTCTGTCGCGAAATCCCACCCGCGACGGTCACGGATACGGAAAAGCTGCACTTGAAACTGAAACGACCCCACGACTCAGTGACGACCACAAACTCCTTCCCCTATTGCGCGGTGTGTTGCAAAGCACCGGTAGCAGCGGGGAACTTCTTCTGCCAGAACTGCTTCACCGTCGGGTACTGTTCGGAGGGGCACATGAGACAGCACGTTAACCACTTGCACGTGTTCGGGCTGGAATGTTTGGAGGAACAGTTTGGCAGGTTCGAGGAGCTTGTCGGGGACAGTTCCGATCATATGAACAGTAGCGGAAACTACAGCACGAACATCAACACAAAAGGAAACATGTTCAAGAGATTCCCGATGCTGAGGTTTCCGACCTGTGAGGAACTGCAGGGAACGTTTGCGGCGAAGAAGATGTACTATGAGTTGAGCCGGGACGATCGAGCTAGTCGAGGAAGAAGAACTACAAGGGCGGCAGCAACGGCGGAGGGCCAAGACGCCGATGGCAACCACGGTGGAACCAAAAACCCCGGTCAACTTCTGTGGGAAGCCCTGCTGCACCGGGTGAAAATCGAAGCGGAGGCAGCGGTAGAGCAGGATGATGAAGGGGCGGACGCTGGTCGTGCGCCGGGTCTAGCGGCGCACCACGAGGAACGAGATCCTGTTCCACATGATCAAGAAAAAAAAGGCGCTGACCACGGCGCTGCAGTGGGAGCTGGCAATAAGAAGAGATTAACCAAAACCCACAGCCGTATGGACGAGGAAAAAGAAAACCAGCTCGCCATCCTTCACTCCGGCCCTGGCCGCAGTAGGAAACGGAAGAAAAAGCGACAGAGGACAATCCTGGACGAATTGCCGAGGTTTGAAATTCCGAAGACAACACTCACGTCAGGACATCTACTTCCAGTACACGACAGTAGCGCTTCTACGAAGACGCTTCGTCAACAGCAAACTTCTGAAGAAAAGCAACTCTCCTCTTCCACCTCCTGGACCACGTTTCTCCTGAACTATCAAACAAAAAACTGTTAACGGTAACGGCTTTCCTGGATTGCGGATATGCATGACAAATTTGCCTAGCATGCATGCTATGCATGACAGATCTGGGCACGTTTTGCGATGCGTTACTGCATTACAAATTCCGTATATTATACGGAATTTGTAATGCGATAACGTTATACTATAACGTTATAACTTTTTCCTGTGATATGAACACCGGCTGGATCACGCTCGGGCTGAGGAAGGGCGAGTGGGGAACTCTGATGCACGCTTTGTCCGAGGTGTTTCTCTTTCTGCAGTTGCGGGAGGTGTTGTTTGATAGGGGGTCGGGGTCCTCCTCCAAGCGGAGCAGAAATAAACTACCTGGTGGAATAAATAGTGCGAATCCAGCAGCAGAAGACTCAGACAGCGAATTTGATTACGACGAGGCCATGCTGTCGGAAAGGCAAGTGTTTGTTGAAGAAGATGAACGCTTTTCTCCTGAAAGTAAAGGCGGAGCGACGCAGACGAGTAGAAGAGGTGGCACGACCACAGCGCAAGAAGGTAAGGCAAGCATCAGCAAAAGCAAAGCGGCAATTATACAGCCTCGACGCCAAGAGCGAGACACTCCCGAACCCGTTGTCGTGAAGAAGTCTCAAGTCGAAGTCACCGACGGAAAAACACTGAAGGACTTGCTGGACAAGGCCAACAAAATTCCGACGACCGACGGTTTCTTCGCCGAGAAGAAGAAACCAATCGGGTTGCTGTCGTTTGTTGGTGATAAAGCGAACGCCGGCAGCACTGCCGGTCGTTTTGACGATGATGTCGGGCCCTCCTCAACATTGTCATCTGTTCTTGCAGAGAACAATGCCAGCCCCGCCGGAGAACTACAAGCCGACGTCTCACCATCGTCCCGGGTCAAAGACACGTTTGAAATTCTGGACGCCTACCCAGTTGCTCCGGGTCCAACCGCATTAGCCCCGGGCGCGGCGAACGGAAATTATAAGCCGACATTACCGCCGCCAACTCCCTTCAACGTCGTCTTTCTCCACGCAGAGTTGGAAAACACCGACATGCTGCAGTTTTTGCGCGAAAAATGGACCTTGTTTCTGTCGATGCTGTGCTTCGGAAACGATGGCGATAGCGAAGATGCTGCAGGATCTACTTCGCATGTTGGAAAAAATCTGAAGCTCGAGCTTACCTTCTATGGCGTTCTCACCTGTTACATTCTCAACTGTTGCACGGATTTCCCATGCAAAACTGCCATCAGCCTCCACTTGATCAAGGTGCTTAGCATGACAAATTTTCGAAGGGCTAAGCAGCATGACAATCTGTGGCAAATCTGTGATGCGAAAGCTGCAATATTGCCACTTTTACTGTTGCTGTTCTTGCATTACAAATCCATGTAACAGTTGAGAATGTAACGTTTGAGAACGCCATACCTTCTGCGTCCCGGAAAACCTCCACTTCGATTGCAGCTCGGAAATGTTTTCGAAGGACAGCCTGCAGATTTACCGGGGGAGTACGACCATAGCAGCTAGCACAGGTAAACAAGCAGAGGCACCAGACGATCTTCATGCTCCAGCACCACTTGCAAATGAAGATGTGCGCGACGTCGTGCAGGGATTGATCGTGAATCAGCAGGCATTGGCGCAGCAGCAGCTTCAACCACCGATCACACCGGCGCAACTACAGGAAGTAGAGGACCAAAAAATACTTTTACCGGAAACCGCTCGCGACCCTGGACCGGGAACGTTGTTGGAAGAGAAAATCACTCATGCTCTTCCGCACCACTGCACCTCCTCCCTTCGCTATCGGCTCTTTCCGCAAACAGTGAAGTTTGAACACGAGTTTTTCAACTCCCGGACGGATTTGTTCGTCTTCGTCGGCGGGGGGTTTTTCCAGCACAAAGACCAAATGGCCAACGTTGATAATGTTAATGCCTCTTCAACAGCCGCACCAGCATCTTCGGATGGTGCAACCACGACAGCAGGAGGAGGAGAAGCCACGGGAGGACGCACAAATAATGCAAGAGAAGTAGACCACGGACTAGTACAACCACAACCACAAGATACAACTACAGACGACCCCTTACTCGAACTGGATCTTCGCCACTTTTTCGATACCGTTTTGAGAAAATCCTCGAAGAAGCGGAAAAAATCCGACCAGCAACAGTTCGTGAATTCTTGGAAGAAGTTCGGAATCACATCGAAGCCCGGGACCAAATTGCTCCTCGTGAACCGAAAGAGGAAGCTGGTGGAGAGAAATTTGGAGTTCTGCTTGAAAACATTGAACCGAGAACGAGACCAGTTATTAGATGACGATGAGGTTTTCGCGACTGCACCGTGGGCGAAGCAGGAAGGTGATACGCTGTTAGGCAACGCGGGGCGGAAAAAAACCGCTTGGGAAATTTTGCTGCCGGTAACGGAAAATGCTGGTTTTGCGAGTCCCTTGTATTATGAGAGTGCACGACAATTCCCCCTCCCCCTCATTTGTATGGCATGAACAGCAACACAAGCAGCAGTAGAAAAGGGGCGTTTGCATGACAAATCTGCATGCGACTTGTAGTACTATTTGAGGTTCCGAAATTTGTCATGCTGACAGTGCTTACGAGCAAAGGGGGCGGGAGTTTGGTATTTTGCATTACAAACGAGGGGGAGGGGGAGTTGTGCAGTCTCATATGTACCTGCATGCGGACTACGAGCGCGAATGGAGGTGGTTTGCTGTGTTGGTGAGAGGGAAGGAGAAGAGAAACTACAACTACAGATCATGAAATAAGCGTAGTCACACTTACAACTGGAGGAAGAGCTTCACGGTAGATCAATCGTGGCAGGAGTGCAAGCTGCACTGCTGCCAGTAGCGCTACGTAAAAATGCACTTCGATGCCAACTACGGCGACGAGAGGCCTCCTGCTCGCGTTCCCGTCCTCGAAGTTCAAATTCCAACCAGAAGATCAGTTCTTGACATCAATCTAGGGTCCCCGGAGGGAAGATCTTCCGTGGTCTATGTAGTTGAGTTCCTTTTTTTGCATTTGCATTCCATTTCCGGAGCGAAGGAGGGAACAAGATCCATCGATCCACCCAAAACCAAAAGATCCATTAAGACCCTTTCATCTTCATTTGCTCCACTCAAAACAAGACAAATATTGAAAGATCACCCGTAATCTTCTTGGTCATCGTGATAATGCCCGGATCAAGGTCAAGTGAGTGGTCATGATGACATGAAATCCACTAAGTACTTTCTTCGGATCGATTGAAATGAAGCTGCGCAGTAGAGTTCGACAGCTGTCGCGCAGGAGCTTCTCCAGATCCACCATTTGTTTGAAGCGTTTTTTCAAGATAATCGCTGAGGCCATCTCAACCTCTCCAGCTCGACAGGCGACGTTGTCACGCGCGAAAACAAAACAATTTGTAAGTGTAAGATTGATTAGATGTACTAGAACTACAATAAAGTTTTCGTTTTGCAATTTGTACTATTTTTTAAATGAAAACGAATAGGAGGTTTAGAAATCGTTCCATATTTACGCAATGCCTGCCATGCGCACCATGTCCTAGTAACATCGTTATAAGCACCAGATAATTCCCCCGATAGCAAGGAAGACAGGCGCAGTCCTGGTGCAGCGAAAGCAATAGTAATAAATAAGCTGGTGGATCTGTTTTTTGAAAAATGATGGCGTATCTAATCTCCAATGTGATACCGCCCACATTCAGACGGGACCCTTCTTCACAATCATCGCGAGGCTGTAGTCGGTGCAGCAGCGGCGCCATCATAATTGCCAGCGAAAATACGCCGAGCATGATGTTCATGCCCTGTGTGGTCTCGTCCTGGTGTTTAATATTCTCTGCATTCATCCTATTCCTCCCTGAGTTCCAGTCCTTTAGTACAACAAATGCGCTGGCGAAGCGAATGCCAATGCCGGGTACTACACTTCCAAAAGCTCCAGCCTCTCCTTCGCCTCCTCGAAACCGCCACTTTCAAAAACTACTCCAACTTGTCGCGCGACGGGAAAACACCTCCCAAATCATGGAGCAGTGGAGCAGCTTCGTCAAGCCCGTACCGCGCTCGCAGCCGTTGAATGGAGAAGAGGTTTTCCAGAAACTGAAACAGCAGCTGCATAGCTTCTGCACCCAGGTCGCAGACATTCGTAGACGAAGCATGAATCCGCCCAGTCCGAGACCTCTCCCTACTAGCCTCGAAGACGAGAAAAGTTTGTTCCTGCTCCGGCAACTCGCCTATACCCTCGCGAAACCAATCGAGGCGGCGCAGCAGACGGGCGGGGGGTCGGTGGCCGTTAAGAAGGAATTCTACCCGTATCGCTCGTTTGAGGAAGACCTGCGGGATCGGCACAATGATTTGAATCCGACTATCGGGGAACTACCACTTTTTTCCGCTGTCTACCGTGCGCCCTTCTCCGACGGCCGGCTTGACATTTACGCGCCCAGAGTCGTGTTTCCAGTAGAACAATTCCAGCCCGCGACAAGTTTTTGGCCGGAGTTACTGGCCCAGCCGACGCATCACGCTGATTACCGACACTGGGACGTGCGTCTAGAGGGGCTCACGCTTAAGATGGCCGTCTCCCCGCAGGGATTTCGTCGCGGCCGCGTGGCCAATCACATCGTGCGCGTAAACTTTGACATAGAAGTGGAGAGGATGGCTGACGTAGTGTTCCCTTTAGCAGACCCCTATCCGCTCGTCGGTCATCCAGACACGACTGGCGTTCCAGTTTCTTCACAACAAAGGGCGCCGATGCCACAAATGCCGAGGCCGCCACAAATGCCGAGCCCCCCGAGGCCGCCACAAATGCCGAGGCCGCCACAAATGCCGAGGATGCCACAAATGCCGACGATGCCACAAATGCCGACGATGCCACAAATGCCGACGATGCCACACATCAGCAACATGTCGGGGATGTCACACATGGATCCTGGGATGCCACAAATACCACCTTCTTCACCGTCGAAAGCGGGACCGACAAATAGCGGGCAGGCTCCGCCCGGAGGCAAAAGCAAGCCAAATGATGTTGATCACATCAACCGTAATCTCGGGAACCTATATGTCAGAGAAGCCCAGGACCGACTTCAACGGGCTGGCGAGGTGGAAACGGGGGTGTGGATCGTGCTGGGGGTCGGAATATGGATTGCAAAAATGTCTGGGTCTGGAAACCTGTGATGCTTGGTGGCGTATCATGAGGAAGCAACAAGTGCTGGCTCAGCATGACAAGTTTCTGAGCTTCTAGGTGTTGCCTATTTTGCATGACAGACTGCGTTTTTGCATGACAGAAAAATGGGGCTCTTGGGTAACCAACGCGCATGACAGATTTAAGAGTCAAGCCAGACAAGCATGACAAACATGCATTCTTCCTGACCCAGACACTTTTGCAGTTGATACGGAATTTTCCTGGCGGTTGCGAACCTGGTGGTGCTGGTTGTGTTGATTTGCCGATGGAACAAAAAGGTAAGAAATCGTGCCGTCGAAGGGACTTCTCCGAGTAGTGCTGCACCAGGTAAATCTGAATCTACAACTCCTGGAGCTGTTCCTGGAAAGGAAGAAGCTCGTGATCAACTCTCTGGTGAAGCGCAGCCGGTGGTGCAGCTGGTGCACCAGCCGCTGGACGAGGATAGAGCCACTGCCGACAGTGGAGCCGCCGCGCCAGGATTTGAGGACCCTTTTGCTGCTGCTGCAATTGGCCCATCGGATGAAAACAGTCATCCCGGAAAAAATAAATTAGAAGCTGCACAAGAACCACCAGTTCTTCTGGCGCTGCAACATCAAGAAGTAGGAGCAACGCCAAAACAGCCGGCCTCGTCCCGCGCTGGGCTGTTTAAGGAACACGTGCTCACTATGGAAGATCCTGCGCCGTTTAACAACCAACATCGGAATGGAATTCGACACGCAGCTGGTGTGCCAGGAGCGCCGCCACTTCTATTCTTTGACCAGCACCAGCACGCCGTCGCAGCACAGCAGCAACAGGCAGTAGCAGTACCGCCGCCTGGAGCACCTCCACAAGCGGCGTTTCCAGGAGCGGTTGGGGCAGCACCTGCCATAGAAGAAGGACAACGAGGAGCTCAAGCCGCGCCACAAGAAGTTCTTACCGCGAACGACCCCCACGCTCTGACGCGGTTTGAGAAGTACCAGCTGAAGATGCAGCAAATGCAGCAATATCAGAATTTGCAGCGGTTCGGGGGGAGGCAAAACTTTCGAAATTTGCAGGTAAACGAGAACAAGGGTGGCGACAGTGCTGGGAGTGAGCAAGTAGAGCAGGTTGGCGTGCAAAACTTCGACCGAGAAGTCGTTGCTGAAACTAAAGCAGCTCCTCCCATCGCCGTGCGAGAAATAGGTGCTCGTCGAGCTACGACGACCGGAGCTGGTCCTGCTGGCGCGCAAGGTTGTGCAACTGGCAGCTCATCTGCAGCAGCAGCAACAAATGAGCCTGCTGTGCCTGGTTTTCTGAAAGATACACAAGTTGTAATCAGTGTCGGTGTTGGGCCAGGAGGATCTCCTCCACACGGAAAGCGTCCTGACGACGAGATTGTGCAGGGAGGAAGTTTCAGCACTACGGCTGAGATGACACCATCAGCAGAAAACGTTCGACCGTCGGCTCCCGTCTTGGAACGAACTGTGCTGCCCGCTGGAGGTCTTGACTGTGGTTATGCCAGCGCGCACCAAACAGCGACAGTATTACACAACGGCGGTATGATTGGGAGCTCCTGCCCATCAAGAACTACCGGCGATAGCTCTTTCATCCCTCCCGAAACCCCCTCGGGTTGGGAAAGGGTGCAAGCTTTACAGGGGTATTCCTTCGATTGAAAAGTTGTCTACGTATTTCAGCGAGTTTTTTTGTGCGTCGCGCTATGCAGGAGCTCAGATACTAGCACAACGCCAATACTTACGGATATTACAGTGTAATACTCGTTCAATTCTATCCAGTTCATATTTTCATATTTTCTAGCCATGATCAAGTTTTGCTGCGAAGACCCAGTTGTGTGCTTCTGTATGGGATGTCTTTATTCCCTTGCTTTGCTACTCTCCCTTTTTTTTTTTCGCTTTCAGTATTGCACCTCTGTCAACAAATTTGAAGTCACAAGTGCGAGCTACCTTCTTTTTTCAAAACATCATTGTTTCGGCTCATTGTCATGGTTTCGTTTCGAATTGCAGCTGACGCTGAGTTGTACCTTCTAAGTGCTTTTGATCCAACGACAGAGACAGACAGCCTTAGAAAAACCTAAAGAACCTCTAGAAAAATAAATTAGTAAGTATCCCGAAATCATTTTTTTTGCGACTAAAGAACTAACAGTACAAAAATAGAAATCGCATGCTCTGTTCAAGCTCATCTGGCGCTAGAAGCATCTGTTTCTGTTTGACGACTACACGTGATAACACTAACATCACAAGTCTGGTGAATTGTATGATTGAAGACTTCAAGTTAGTACACATCAAGCAACGATCACGAACAAGCCGGACGCCGTTGATTGTTTCGCCTCCAAAACTTTTTCGCATGTCGCGCGAAGAAATTGTTCCAGAAGGTCCAGTACTAGGTGGAGTTGCAGTGCGATCGCGATGAATCTGCAGGATCGTTTCGCGATCGCGAAAAAACAAAATGTTGATCACAGCTGTCTCTGCAGGATCGTTTCTTTGGTAATGTTTGTTCAACTTGGTGCGCTTTGGCGACGTCTGTTTTGCACTTCATCTTCGGGAAGACTATATCCGTATCGACGTAGAGCGTGAGTCTACTTGAATGCACATAGAGTTAGACTTGGGCCAAGTCTAAGTCTTAGACTTGGACAGCAACGATGCCCAACATCGTGGTCCATTGATCGCGTCTTGATTCGTTCCCTCTTCTAGAACTACTCACAGTCTTGGATTCTCGATTGCCCGCCTCGTTATGGGTGTCGTCTGCAATGAGAAACTTTGGTCGCATCTGAAGGGGAGCGATGTTGATGCCTATCCTGCCAGAGGAAACTGCGGCAAAAGAGCGAGAGGCGAGAGTGAAGGTGCTGTTTCACTACACCAGCATCGCCACCTGCAGCGCAGAATTCTGTATTGGTCGAGATTGAGTTCATCGGGGTAGTACAAGTAAGAAGTACTACAGCTCCATGGTGCATACTTAATTACTGCACGCTGTGTATCTTTTGTTCGACCAGATTTGCTTCTCTTAGTAAAATTAAAATTTTATTTTCTACTTGTTTTGGTTGACCTCCCTATATCCGAGTGAGAAGCTGCGCCCACCATCACGCCTGCACCCCTGCAAAAATAAATGGCTCGTCTATCTTGCTAGAGCGCCTCCAGCTTGATGTTCCTCCAAGTTCCAGAACGATAACCAGAACGAAATAACTCCGAACCCGTGCGCGACCGGTAGAAATAGCACCGCTGTAAAGCTGAAACCTCCTCGAGTGAGAACTACCCTAATAAAGATTAAAGCACTACCCCGCTAGGCGGCACCATCTGCATCCTCCTGTCGTCCGCGGAGGTGGAGGACATCGAGATTGTCACAAATTTTTGCCGGACTACTACTACAGACCACCAGGTGCTGGATGTTGACGACGTGGTCCTGACAACGAACTGACACACAGCGCAAATTCCCGGTCCTTGTTCGCCGCAAACGAAGCGCCTCCTAAATCTTCACCAGGGAGCACAAAAATTAATTGCGGACCACTTCACCGCCTCCATTAGAATTACGTCAGCAGTTGGTTCCAGGCCTGTACAGTACCTACAACCGCCTTTACTTTGAACTGAGAGGACGTCGCACAGCGATCATCGGCCCGCTTCGTCCTGTGTCGTAGTCGTCCCCAATACCAATAGTATTTGTGGGAAAATATATTTATCGCCGCCGGCGACCTACATCGACGAAAGTACTGCGTCCACTGCTACCAGCAATACCACGTGGTCGGAGACGAGACGACCGGTGGCGCAGATCAAGTAAAAGTTCGAGTTGTAGTACCTGCTGCAACCTCTACAGCCGATCCTTCGTTCAGCAAGTAGGGTTGTACTAATCGTCCTCCAGCCCCATTTTGTTCATCCTGCTGAGCTCCGCATTGCATCACGACTCCGGCCAGCGCCAGGGTCGTCGACTACATCAATCTTCCTCTCTTCCTGAGAATACAAGCAACCAAAAAGTGCGCAGAAACTTACCCTCGGCACAAGAACAACAACTGGAACAACTTCGACCTTCTTCCGGCGCTTCCTCAGTCACTGTGGTCACTCACACTGCTGGCCTGACGCTGGTGTGACTCAATTCGAATTCTAGAAATATCTATTCCCTCAACCACAACCACTTATCAAGAATCGAAGATGGCGAATCTGACCGGTGTGGTGCAATATCGAATGCAAATATGTATGGGTCTGGAAGATTCCGAGATTTGTCATGCTGGTCCGGCATGACCCTTAACTCTGTACTGCGTTGCCACAAACAGGCTCTTCTGCATGTCATGCAAAAACGCAGTTTCTCATGCGGAATACGCAGCACAGAAGCACGAAAGAACTTGTCATGCTTGGCGACGCATTACAGTGCATTCGTTATTGACTGACTTGCATTACAAGTTTATTCCAGACCCAGACATTTTTGCATTTGATATGCAAACGCAAACCCAGCCGGAGCTGCCGCAAACGGCGACCCGGCCCATGGGGACCCGAAGGCATCTATCCTGAGTAAAAACGTCCCGACTCCATACGTCAAGTTGGGAACTCCGCAACACAATTCCAAAGACTTTAGGAGTCACGCATTACAAACTGAAACTTGTTATTGTTTTCTCTGTTTTGTAATGCGGGTTTGGGTTAGCAAGGACAAGGAGAAGGACAGCCGCATCACAAATCCATCTTGGCATCCTGTTTGCAGCATCACAAATTCCAGATGAACACAGCGGCTCAAAATGAAAATGCCTCTCACTCGTCATCATGATGCGGATGCGCATTACAAGTCTTCCTGTGATTGCAAATCTGCATGACAGCTTTCGGGTAGGGACGTTTTTACGCAGGATAGCACCCCCAAAACGGACGGACGGTGGTGCAGTACAAGGGGGACATGCTCCCCATGAACTACGCACTGCCCGAAACGGTGTTCAGATCGGGTCTCTTTGACTTGAAGAAAGAAGTTATCGCAAGAAAAAACTGTTTCACTGTGAACTTGTGATGCAGAAAAAGCATCACGGAAGTGTTTGTCTTGCTACACATGCAAGACAGTGGACTTTTAGCTGCGTTTTCCCTTAGGAATCTCGCATGGCAAATTGTCTCTGTCATGCGGAGCAAACTTGATGTGATGCAAAAGTTGCAAAATCCTTTACAGTGAAACACTTTTTTCCTGTGATAGAAGTCCGCTCGGTAAAGCGAGGGATCGACAGGAGACACGGGAAAAATTTAGACCAGGCAAAAGATTACGCAAGCAGGAAACGGTATTTTTTTTGAATTTTGTTGAATAATGATGTGGGTGATGGTCGATGATGCTGGTGATGACTGAAGATTTTCGTCGTGCCACATCGGGATATTGTGCAAGCGTGCAGTGTGGCGCAACATCACATCATCTTGTTGCTCGCATAGATTTACTTGAGAACATGATCAGGACGATCAGCTTTACTAAAATACCACAGCGTGACCCGGTCACTCGCAGACCCGGTCACTCCAGATAATGTGGTTGATGATGGTCTGTGATGCTGGTTATGATTGAAGATTTTCATCGTGCCACAGCGAGATATTTTTGTGCAAGTATGCACCAGTGTGGCGCAACATCACATCTTGTTGCTCGCATAAAAAATTTGCATGAACATCAGGAGCTGCTTTACTAGCTTTACAAAAAATTAAATCCTACAGCGTGACCCGGTCACTCGCAGACCCGGAGTGCTACGACCCGCAGCCAACGGCAGAATATCCTGTGCAAAAGTATCGCACTCGTATTGCAATCATGCATTACAAATCTTTTTCTTGGGGCAAATCCGCATTACAAATTTCTTCTCTCATGCTGAGGAAATTCATTCATACGAGTACGATACTTTTGCAGTTCATACAGAATCGGTGGCAGCAATCGAGTCAAGGCTAGATGAGCTGAAGCGCACAAGCGGCGACGCGCTGAATCAGAAGGGTTCATATGCAATACAAATTTCCCGTACATGTTGTACAAGATGCATCACAAATTTCACAACTTGGGAGCGTAACACTTGTCATGCTAAACTAGGATCGAAGCCAAGCCTTGTCATGCAGAGACCGCATTTCCATTTGTCCGTGTACGCGAAATTTACTGTGGATAGTTCACGGGTCAAGATCATGAATTTACCGGATGACGTCGTGAACGTACAGACTGATGTGATTTTTTCTTACGTCGAAAAACTACGACAAACTACAACTAGTAAAAAGTAGAGTTTGTGATGCAAAGTTTCCGATGAAAGACGGAGTTTGTAGTCGTGCAATGCCAGCACTAGCACTAGCACTACAATGCAAATACGTCAAAACAACACAGCGTGGCGCGGGTGCGAATGACTTTCGGTTGGATGTGATACAGAAGGACATTGACCACAAAGAGGAATACTTGCGATCGGGCAGTATGTTTTAAAGATAGTGATGCTCCTGGTGTTTGAATTTATCATGTACTTACACCAGAGCTTCCTGCTTTTTGGAGACAACTTCACTATGCATATTCGACGGCCTCCGGCTCCTGGTCAAGTTATTTCAAAGCTGCAAACAAGTCAACCGAATAAAATTAAAAACATAAACCACGAACGTCTCTACAGGATACAAAACCCGGCACCTGACGAAAAAGCAAAGTGATATGCTGGAGGATCAGTTGTTTCTACTAGCGAGAAGTCAAGTATTCTGAAAAGCAAAAAAACAAGAAGCAACTACGTCGCATGCTGCAGCGATTATGACGCACCATGATGCCCAACACATACACAGAGATGGAAAAGAACATCATGATAACCTTGCTACGCGCAGCTGCAACCAGCATGCAAGGCCGTGCGCTCCTGCTCCGAATGGTGCTTGCTTTTATTTACCATGGTCTTTTCCTGCGCTTGCTTCTTGCTTCTGAACGGGCACGTCATGAGTTTCATTTACTTGGATCAAGATCGCTTTTCAAGAGACTGAGCTCGAAAGTAGATTCATGATCTTCCCTGTCGATACTTTTCCCGATCGGCATCACCATCGACGAGAACCAGAACGACATATGCACTGCAAAAGTATCATACTCGTCTAAATGCATTACAAATTTTCTCAGCATGAGAAAGAAAATTTGTGATGCGGATTTACCTTGAGAAAAAGGTTTGTAATGCATGATTGCAATTACCACGGGACGAGTACGATACTTTTGCACTGGATACGACAAGATTCTGTACGACGAATATCCACAGTGGTACCGCATGAGCGACTACGCATTGTAAATAATAGAATGTCTGGGTCTGGAAAACTGGAACTTGTATTATGCCTGTCTTGCGTTCCTCAAAATCAAAAATCTGCTTTGTGTGATTTCGCATGGCACAGGGAGCTGCTCCACCCTCTGTATGTGAGATAAAGATAAACGCAATCAAAAATGCCTTGCCTCCATGCAGTTTGGCTTTGATCATGACGCAGCATCACAGGTTTCCAGATGTCGGCCAGAGCATACTATTTGCAATGCATAGCGAGTACGGGGAGAACTTTTTCGCCCGCGGAGTGAAAACCACAAGGGAGATGGGGATGGGAAAACAACCCTACGCCATACACGAGAAGGTGGTATGAGAGGAGAAATGGACGAGGTTGTATCTGTGTTGCATGAATGCCAAAAGTTTTCTACTTTTGACCAACAAGCTGAGAGGAAGTTTCTCATGCTCTCAGTTTAGGCAACATGATAGGGATCTCACAGAATCTGTCATGCTAGGCCCTGCATTCCAGACGACATGGAAATGAATCATGGACTGTAAATTTGACTTCCTCTCGTCTCTCTCCTCGCATAGCAACCTGACTACGATTTTCGGATGTCGATGATCAAGCATCAAATCGCGATGGGAGAGCGGAAGGGGTGAGAAAATAAAGGAGTCGACACAAGGAAAAAAGTCGAAGACGAAGAGGAGGTGGTTTGTTTCATCTTCATCTATCAGATTCAGTGCCACAAAATAAAAATGCATCCACAACGTACTTACTTTACTTCTACCTGGAGCTCCTGCTGCTCCTGTTGCGCTAGCTACTTTGTTTTACAGAAAATTACTTTACAGCTCGCAGTTGTCAACTACTACGCAACACCTTTACCTATCATCAAATAATGCCTCTGGTTCAGGGGAATAAAGCCGAATGTAATGCAGCAGCTGCCGCTGTAGTTTCCACGTTGTACAAAACGGGCGGCATAGCAAGTTTGTATGAAAATGGTTGACCAACAACATTCCCCGATACCAATCAAAGTCTGAAAACAATTGGAATCATTGCCACGCCCACGGCCTCAACAAATACCGAAAGAAAGAACGAATTTGAATTTATATGAAATACTTTGATTGGACATCCTCATTATCCATCGTGTTATTATCAATCCTCTGGATTTCAGATTTCAAAATCAATACCAATTGAAGATTCTTCCACATTATTCTCATTTATCGATCTGGATGGATTCTGTGTCAATACATCTGAATTAGAAAATTCTGTTGATGTGAAAATTCCGAATATCATAAAAGAAATATCCAGAATCTCATCATGAAAAATGATGTTTGTTGAATTGTTTATGTTAATATGTCGAATTCGTGTAACTAAAGATTTTTCCTTCTTCCATGTGGTTGTATGGCTTTTCGAAAAATTCGAGGAAATCTGACAGAGGTAATATTCTCGATATATTCTCGAGAAAAAATGAAAAATATGAAGAAAAAAAAAATGAAGATCGAATCATTAAAAGATTTTCCGAGAATCGAAAGAGATGAGAGATCAATCAATTTATCAATCCAATGGATATCGAATATGAATATCAAAGGATGAATTTTCTTCGAATATATCGATCGGATGAATCTGATTTCAAATATATTATCATCATTCTTATTTATTTCCATGCATGATTTTAATGATCGAGGTCCAAAAATATTTCTTTTTTTTTAATTTTTCAAGAGCCTAAAAATTCCGTTGGAAAGAATCACCATCCTTATTTTTCCTGAAATATCCATCAATCTTTTTACTTGAAAAAAACATCCATCAATTGACTCCATATCATAGATCTTTTTTCTGAATTCCATCATCTATTGGAATTCAGGATTGAGAATTCGAATATTTTTTGGGATATCGATATTTCGAAAAAACCTAAAATAAAAAATAATTTTTCAAAAATTCTTCATAAATTTTCATAGAAATAGATTCCGATTAGGAGTCGAAATTATTTTTTGGGAATTTTTAGAAAATTATTGTAGGTTGACTCTCAAAGAATTTTCGAACATCATATGTAATGACATGTTTCGGAACTCCAACATCCATGAAAGAAATATTTATGAGATGATATCAATCCAGATTCTATTCTGCACGATTTGATTCTATCTCCTAACATCGACAATTGATGGGGATACATTTGAAAACTTGAATGGAAATCATTTTCCAACTGAATTCGAAATCCTTCTGATCGATGTATTTTGGTTGAGTAGTCAATTGTCATCGGAAAGAATTAGAATGGAATTCGTCGATGATGGAAATGAGGTCGGAATCGAAAATTTTTCCATCATCGTCCCTTTTACTCTCATTTCACTCGCTAAAAGTCGCAATCGCTTATGGTGACCCTTGTCCGTGCGGGGAACTCTCGAAATGCGAGAGCCGGGTGAAAATATTGCCGTCGTGGGAAAAAATGTGAAAGTGTGAGAAAATGCTCACCCGTCAACAACGTCTGTGCCCTTTTAAGCTAGCTCCTACGCTCGTTTCACTCGAGTAAAATTGCATTTGCGGGCTCTTCATTTGGTATTTTACTCTCATTTCACTCGCTAAAAGTCGCAATCGCTTATGGTGACCCTTGTCCGTGCGGGGAACTCTCGAAATGCGAGAGCCGGGTGAAAATATTGCCGTCGCTCTCGCAACAACACTTCCGGGCCCGAACACGTTGTCAATCAAATGTGATTGACCTGGTGGTGAACTCAGTCCAACCGGTCGCTGACGGCCTCGATAAAGAGCGACTGAGCTCCGAGGAAGAATACGCCAACAGGTCATAGACCGGAAGAAAGTCTAAATGAAATGTGACAAATCGTCTATGCTCAGAGGGAGGTGGCGCTACTCACCTTCATTGGAAAATAGACGGAAAAAAATGTGAAAGCGTGAGAAAATGCTCACCCGTCAACAACGTCTGTGCCCTTTTAAGCTAGCTCCTACGCTCGTTTCACTCGAGTAAAATTGCATTTACGGGTTCTTCATTTGGTATTTAGGTGCATCTTTCTGTGTCACATTGCCTTTTCTTCTCTGATCTAAATTTCTTTGTCGAAACCGAGTCCCGTTTCAGATCCATGTCCATCGCATGAAATAGTTAGTCTTTGCCCAATTAGGGAAAAGTTGTTTTACGTTAAAGGCAAAAAATCAGCGACGACACGAGTGCGACTTCTAGGTCTAAGGACGAGAGACGAACTCGAATCATAAAAAAAAAATTGTACTGTATTATCACCTAGAGACGAAGTGGTGGTTTAGATATTCTATCACAAGCGCAGCGGAATCATGAGGAACGGAAAGCAAAACTGTGATTGTCGGCCTGAATATGGATTCCGGGTTGGAAGGTAAAAGATGAAGTAGATTTTTCAATATCGAAGCGTGGCGCTGCGCTATACTTCCTTTAGTTTGTGTCCTGTTGTTCGTCTCACCACAATAAAAGAAATTCTTTCATCAGAAATCAAAAAAAATAGTCATCGTATTCCGGTGGCTCATAGTCGTAGCCTCCTCCGAACCCTCCAAAGCCTCCTCCTCCGCCGTAATAATTGTAAAAGTTCTTCTTCGCCGCCTTTGCTTTCGGTTGCGGTGGGCCCGCGAGCGCATTATCCCACGGCGTCAGCGTCAAGTCCGTCCATTGTTGTTTCACCTTCATCCCCTCCGGCCCCTCGCAGTGCCGCCACCCCGTCATGCCGACCTTGAAGCCGCGGCAGGTCAGTTTTCCGGCTCTCCAGTCCAAATCTACCTGTTCGGTTCTTCGGCATTTCGGGCAGCTTTTGAACGTTCCGCCGAGGGTTTTGTACATCGCGAGCGATTCGACGAGCAGCTCTTTTTTCACGTTGGAAAGCCCCTTGACGTTGTTCTGGCGCACCATCTGGCTCAACTCCGAGATTTTTTTCTTCTTTAAATCCAGTTGGTGTTGCTGGAAAGTTTTGTATTGGGCGGAGGTGAAGATGCCGCGATCTTCGGCGGTGAGGGTGCTGTGATGTTCATATGTGGATGTGATCTTGATGATCAATAACAATAACTGTATCGCGTTCTTCATTCAATTTGATTTTTGTGTATTGCGCTGCATGAGCACGCGATCCTGCTCGTCTGAAAAATCCAAACTACCGAGACGAGCAGGGCAGTACACAGCCAACAATAAAATTTTCACGAAACTGATTTAAGCCTAAAATACCTCCCCGCGGCGGCGCTCCCTGATGAAGAAGGCCCAGCTGCTCCACCAGAGGTCGTCGAGTTGTTGTTTTTCGCACTTCCTATCCGTATTTCTGGGTTCAAAATCTCTCCCCACGCCTTCTTGAATTCCCCTGCGAGTGCCGTGTCGAGCCTATTCGGGTCCGCGAAAACGTGTTCTTTTTTCGCCTCATATTCCGCGATGAGTTTTTCCGCAGTCGGAAGGAATTTCCGCTTATCCTCCCACCAGTTCGCTTTGCGGAAATTCGCGAGGCACCGGGCGCATCCTGTGCAAAAGCATCGCACTCGTAGTAATCGCAATCATGCATTACAAGTCTTTTTCTTAAGGTAAATCCGCATTACAGATTCCATTTCTAATGCTGAGCGAATTTGTATTGCAGTTACTACTAGTACTAGTACGATACTTTTGCAGTTCATAGGGCGTGGAGATGGATGCTGGATCGGAACTTGGCTTGCAACAGCGTCTTGTGAATTGCAAAAGTGTAGTCTGGGTCTGGAAGATTGCAACTTGTCATGGTAAATCTGAAGCATGCAAAAATCTGTGTTGCATGAGTGCCAGAAGCTGCCCACTTTTGACCAAATTGGAGCAGAGTTTCTCATGCAGAATAGGCATGGCAGAGGCAGACGCAGAGACCTCGCAGAGTCTGTCATGCTAAGTCCCGCATTCCAGACCTCATGGGTCATGGAAACTCTGCATCATGACAAGTCTACACTCTTCCAGACCCAGACATTTTTGCACTTGATACGTCTTGTCGCGGCCGGCGTCGACGTAGTAGTAGTCATCGGCATCGAAAGCGCCGTAGAGGTCGAGCTCTTTTTCTTCACGGTCAAGGCCTATCGTGAAGAAACATTCCCCCTCGTCCCCATGTTGAAAGTGTATCCATATCCTTCTGGAGGTGGCCACAGAGCGCGTCTGTCTTGCAAGAAGGCAAAGCCAGAGAACCCGGCGTCGCATTATATATACGTGCGATTTGTAAAAACGCTGCAAGGCCTACAGGGCAGCACCAGTCGCCTGCCCTGCTACGTGCCTACACGACCAAAAGACCCCTGCGGCGCCTATCCAGGCTTATGCTTATCTACCTGCAGTTCTACTTCCCTACTGCATCATCTTCAACTACGCAGATCCGATTTATTGTGCACGCAAATCTCGCATCACAGATTTCCAATTTATTTTGCATATGGGGAGGGGGAATTTTCAAACTCATATGGCTGTCCGTTTCTTCTTCGGACGCATCGTCTATCCTGAGGAAAAACGTCCCCACACCAGAGCCAAGATGGAGAATCTGCTAGACAAATCGGCCAGCTTTGGCTGTTTCGCATGACAAGTTTGTCCTCGTAGTGTGATCCTGAGTAGCTAGCTCAGCAGCATCACAGATCTAGCATATCATGCTATTTCTACCATCACAAATCCCAAAACACGACTAGAAAAAGCTTCTCATGGGGCTTTGCATGAGAAACTTTTTTGGCATGCAAATTTGCATGACAACTCTGGGGTGGGGACGTTTTTACTCAGGATATCATCACACATGTAATTATCCTCGCCATGATACCCGTAATAGTCGTCATTTGGTTCCTATGAGGTGCAAAAGCATCGTACTAGTATAAACCAGCCATGCTCCGGCTACCGCCGGAGCGCAAGGCTGTTTGGCCGGGTTTGAACTGCTTGCGGACCGGACCACAGCGACATACATACTCATGCCCCCACAGCACCGTCTGCGCGCTTCTCGCGCCTAAGGGCGCTCTGCGCAGGGAGGAGCTACCGCGAGCACTGGGGCAGAACAGGACGCACCTAGGTGCCACACCAATCCGGTACGCATGCCTTTCGTTAATCAAGACGAACCACGAACCCCGCCCCATTCCCCGGCTTCACTTTTTCAATGGCTTCAGTGTGGGAGGGCGGCGCGAGAGGGTAGCGCGAGAGGGTGGCGCGAGAGGGTGCGCGAGAGGGTAGCGCGAGAGGGTGGCGCGAGAGGGTGGCGCGAGAGGGTGACGCGAGAGGGTGGCGCGAGAGGGTGGCGCGAGAGGGTGCGCGAGAGGGTGGCGGGGACAAACGCCGTCCGCGAAGAGCCTGCAATGCTAAATATGAGCACTACCATGCGGATTCGCGCCTGCCACTTTGTGTTTTTACCCTCTCGCAGACCTCTCGCAGACCCTCTTTTTTACCTCTTTTGGGGGTCCCCGCTAATAGTCCGGCTATACTCGCGGGTAGAGGTCGACAGAGGTGGCCCAGAGGTGGCCGAGAGGGTGCGCGAGAGGTTGGCCCTTATTCGCGCCACCTCTCTCGACCTCTGTCGACCTCTCGCGCCCCCTCTTTTTGACCTCTCTGAACCCTCTGAGGCACTTAGGCGCCGCCTTAAGGTGGGGCCTTCAGCGGGCTATACTCGCGCACCCTCTCGCCGACCCTCTCGAAAGGGGTCCCGCGCCACCTCTCCACCTCCGTCGACCTCTTTTTTACCTCTTTTGACCTCTTTTTGACCTCTCGGCCACCTCTTGTTTACCCTCTGTCTACCTCTTTTTTCGCATGAATATAATATATAAGTAATCGCAATACAAATTTCCTCAGCATGAGAAATAAAATTTGTAATGCAGATTTGCCTTAAGACAAAGATTTGTAATGCAAGACTTGCATTCATACGAATACGATACTTTTGCACAGGATAGTTCTGGAATACCCAGAGCCTCGCAGCACGGGCAGCCTTGGTAGTGGAAATCGCGCTTGTACCTGTTGTGTTGTAGTGCGAGTTCTGCAATACAAATTTCATACCGTCCACATACAGAATGCAGCTGAAATTCTACCAAGAACATTGTCATGCAGAAGCCGCATCTACTTCGAAATTGTAATTGACAACAGTCTACCCCTACCGTCGTTCATATTCCGCGGGATTGTTCTGCTTCAGCTCTTTTTTCTTCGCCAATCTCTCAAGCGCTTCTTTTCGATTTTTTTCGATTTTTCCCTGCTTCTTCGCTTCGTCGATTTGTTTTGCCTCGAAGTATATCAAATGCAAAAGTGTCTGGGTCTGCAAGGATGCAAGGCGTGTCATTCACATTTTGCATCATGACTCCTGAAGTCTGTAGAAACGCATGCTCTAGCATCACAGACTTTGCGAGGGCTTCCTGATGTCTAGACCGCATGAGAAACGCCCTCTCGCCGTGGCAAAAACTGGCCCTCTTATTTTGCTGCTCGTGCAATGCAGATTTTAGAAGTATGCAACTGCGGCATCAAAAGTTGCATCCTTCCACCAGACCCAGACATATTTGCAATACATAAAGTAGCTTCGTTCGTCAAAATAGATGAGGCAAACGGTTTTCTCCCCGAGCTTCGTGCAACAAGTCGCGCATTTCTGGTTTTTCCATTTCGGAACGGAGAGCTCCAGGGAAAATCGCTCGTTCTTCGTTGGATTGGTGTTCACGATTTTGGGGCGGGGCAATGCTGCCGGTGCGGCTCCTGCAACAGAAAAATTTCCAGCTAGGTTATTTTTGTTGTTGGAAGTAGAGGAAGATGAAGACGAGCTACTAGACGAGGCTGATGCAGCAGGACCACCACCTCCTTCTGCGCCGGCAGCTGATTTGCTCGTCTGCTTACCGCGGCCTCGTTGCTGCGCCATTTCTATTTTCCCGGAAGATGAGCTACAAGATGGAGCGACTTTCGAATTTTTGGCGGCCTTCTGCGATTTCGCTTTCGCGGCCGGCTTGCTGGGTTTCTTCTTGCCATCGTCAGCAGACTTCTTGGTAGGTAGTTTCTTCATCGCAGCTGGCTTGTTGCTTGTTGCAGTGCTGCTCCTGGCACCAGCCGTGGCTGCTGCTTTCATTTTAGGCATGGTGAAGATACGGTGTCTGGGCCGTGACGCCAACGCTGAATTTTCTATGCGAGGATCTGAAGAAGAGATGAGGGGCGGGGAGACAAGCTAGCACTACTTATTAAGTAGTGCCCGCCAGTTAATAGAGGCTGAGCGAGGCCAACAATCACCAGGAGTTATTTTGCTTTTGGTACCGTCGTGTTACAGTAAAAAAATGCTCAACAGTCTTGGTATTCTGTTCTAGTTCTACAGGTCGCTAGTATAATCGATCTAAATAAATTTACTCATCTCTCCAGCGGCGTTTATTGGTCGCCACACTAACACTTTCTGTAAACAAGAAAAGGATAAGGATGAAGAGAGAGTTTCAATGAAAAAAGCACGGAGCTCTTTTGGCTCAAGAGAAAAGTTCAAAATTATGTAAGATGTTGAGCGGCGATCTTGCAGCGCCTGGAAATGATGACCGCACTCTTGTTTCGTCGCGATCTCTGTCTCTCGGGAAATTTAAGATCTCAATTTCTGGTCATCTTCCTGCAATAAGGAGCCTTCGTCCCAACTCGATATCGCTCCAAAAAAAAACCTTGTGGCTCGCTCACGCTCAAAGGTAAGAAGAACACCTAGCAGGCCTTCATGGAGATCTCAATGCTAGCTGCTAGGAATCAGCCCTGCCAGATGAAGATTTAATTGCTACCTGTCATCGTGTTCTTAAAAGAGTCAGCAAGTGGTCTGCAAAAATAGTGATTTTTTTTGCACAAAATGCACGGAGCTCTCCGAGCATCACAGCTCCGACAACAGGCGTGTTGTATCTTTTAACGATAAATACACCTCATCCTCAACTTCTAACACTACCAGAAAAACTAAATCATACAATAACACGGACGAGATACTTACATCGTAATACAAAAACTGCTCCTGCTCTTGTTCCGAAACGAAACGAAGGCAGAAAGGCCTAGATCTATACTGTATTTCTATTTCTCCTTGGTTCTCACTCTCAGTCTTCACCATTTTTAAAACATTACTCAACACTTCGGAAAAATGTAACTTTGTGTGTTAGTGTTAGAACATTGCACAGCCCGTAGCTGGTGTCCTCTCAAAATCTTATCCCTGCTCAAATGTGTGACAAGTGACAGGATTCCAATGTCTACGGTGGAGAAGTGATGATGCGATCGTACAGCTCTCTGGCCAAAGCCTCACTTCCGCGCCAATTCGGATGCAAATTGTCGCGCTGGTTATACAACTCGGGCGTCTCGTCTCCGCGGAGCACGTCATTGGTACTCAATGCCGTGATGTTATGCTTTGCAAAAGTATCGCGCTAGTGGTAATAAATTGCACTGTTGCCAAACTTCAATTTTCACTAGTTAAAGGGCTGAATTTGTAATGCTGAATTACCGAAAAAGGAGTAGAGTTGTGACGCGAGCTTGCAATTACCAATTAGTACGAGCGCGATACAAACTTTTGCAGAGGATAGATGCGAATCCCTTGCAGCTGGGGGCTTCCGTTTTTAATTTCTTCTAGTGTATCCCTCAACACCGGAAAGCTTGCTTGGAGCAAGCTGCCGTAGAAGATATTCACGATCGCAGTCGTCCCACTCGAGGCCAGAAACGAGTTCCCGTATCAAATAGAAAAGTGCCCCCACCACAGAATGTGGACGTGTTCGTGTTCTGTTTGCATGGCAAAAATGAATAACTCTCAACGGAAACATCATCTCCCACATCATCATTTCCATTACACGGACCAGCATGACAAATTTGCAAGCCAGAGTAGCCAAAGTCTGTGGAGGTTCACAGCGCCACAGCATCAACGATGTCTGTCATGTTGAATCTGCACAATAATGGCGTAGATACTGCTACCAAATGCGTCGCATTCAGCACTTTATGCAAAAATACAGAAGGTTTTATATTTGATGTTCCGTGTGCTGGCAAGTTTGCAACACAAGCTGTTTCTGTTTGGTCTACTCATACTCTCTCGTGGTCATGGTGGAGGTCGTGGGTGCCCTTTTCACTGTAATATCCCAAGAACCGCGTTGATGCCGATGTGGTTTCTAAAGTAGCCGGGGCGCGTCCTCGGGAGGCCAAGGAGGATGATTTCCTTCGGTTTTTTCCTCTCGGTCAAAAACTTCAAATATCTCGGAAAATTTTCCCGCCACAGAGTCCTGAGTGCGTCGATGACCTCTCGCTCTAAAGATCCATTCCAAAGTCCTTGGATGATCGCTTGGCGACTTTTCCCATAGAGAACTTGCGGCAAGATACAACTTTGGTGCAAGTCATTGCCCGAGACGTGCACCACGATGCGGTCGTGCTCCGTCACGGTGTCCCGAATCGCGATGTCGTTTGCGGGGTTGTTTGGACCGCCGGGGACGGAGCGGTTTCGTAGCATAGAGCCCGCTTGCGCAGCCATCACGCATTGGGTGGAGTTCCACGGGTTAAGAATATCGTCTGCAGTGCTGTCGTGGAAGAATTTCGGCAGATAATACATGATGTCCGGCTTGAGGTAGGCCATAAACTTGTCGTAAGTATTCGGCAGATCGTGCTTCCTCTCGTCGGTTTCCAAAAAACGCGAGCCATCCATCCAAGAGTCGCCGGACATGGTCCGAATCACGCACCTAGAAATCACGCACCTACGCCAGGAAAGCAGTGGCGACCGCTTGCTGCATCTACGAAAAGCGACTCCCGGTCGGCGCTCCACCACCTACAAAAAAACACCTATGATCACGAAACAGCGCCCCAAAAAGCAGATATCAACATACAGAACTGCGGGCCGCCCGAACCAACGACGACGACCTAAGGCGGAAAACGAAACGCCATGCAAATCAAATCCATCTCCATGCCAAGTCTGTGTCTCTCACCTTGTTTTATCTGCCGCACGCAGCAGATGCTAAAAGTGCAGCAGTTTGCATTGCGTTTGCATTTTGTCAGAGCGAATTCTGACACGAGCGAATTCTGACACTAGATCGCTCGAACTAAGAAAGAGAAAAAGGGAAGAAACCAACGACCCGATGTATCCACAGGTAAAAATCTAGGAGCACAACCAAAGATAGCACTGCCAGTCAGCCAGATAGTATTTTGTAGCAAGCGTTAGCTACTTTCGCGTTCTTTTTTTGATAGCTAGAAAACAAAAAATCTCCTACCAAGGCATAGTGGATAGTTTATTCCTTCTTTTCCAAATTCGTTCGGATGCCACTTTGCGTTCTTTGAGAAGCAAAAGTTTAGATGTCATCTTGCTTGCATGATTTGAAAACCGAAAAACACAACTTGCGTCTATGAATGCGCAGGAGGCCGTTTGTGTACAGATATAAATATGAATCTACGTCGCACGTACTTCCAGAAGTTTTTCCTCGTAAGCATCGCTCTTATGCGTGCCTGGCTATGTGTCTTCGCCTTTCCTTTCATTCTGAGCATCGACATGAATTCCGACGATGCTTCATTCATTCATAACTTATCTTTTTTACGGATGTTGTAGATAGAGATACTCACTCACTCACTGATGTGTATCCGGGAGAATGAAGCGTGACCCTTATAAATATATTGCGAAATGCGACCCCTCGTTGGTGTGTGTGCACTTCCTTCACCTTCGTGTTCGTTGGTGCGGCGAGCAGGAACCTGTTGTAAGTTCAGTAGTTAAGAGTAGTTATAATTTGCAATAGTGTCCCTCGGAAGATCTACGACTTGAAAAAGTGCACTGCTGTGACTGCTTGGAATTGCGACTGCTCTACGGCGTCGGCAGCCGCGGCGAGTGTGTCAGTCAGCGCGATTTACTCCTGCAAGTGTGCCAAGCTCCTCTAGCATGCCCAGGACATCCCTGAAGTGCTCGGAACAAGAACAATCAGTCCGCGCATCACTCGATTTTGAAACTCTCACACACCAACATGACGCGCATGCATTAAATCTACACATCTCACACACCAACAGCATGCATCTCACACACCAACATGACGAATCATTTTCTAAAAAAAACGCGAGCCATCCATCCATCCAAGAGTCCATCCATCCAAACAGCGCGAGCCATCCAGTCCAATCCTTCCCCGTTTTTTGGAAACAAGCCCAACCATCCATCCATCCAGTCCCCGTTTTTTGGAAACAAGCCCAACCAACCATCCATCTGTCTGGATGGATGGACTTGGTCCCCGTTTTTTGGAAGCGCGAGCCATCCGCGTTTTTTGGAAAGAGTCCATCCAAACAGCGTTGTTTGGACATCCATCCTCGCGTTTCCAAAAAACGCGAGCCATCCACCCAAGAGTCGCCCGCAAGGTACACAACGCTAGCCGGCCGCGGGTTGCTTTGACTTTGATGGCCTGCTGCAGTCGTGTTTGCACTCAAAATGCCGCGGAGGTTCGCGACTATCTGCCTGACAGTTTGCCCATTCGTGCGCTCCCGGTACCCGTAATACCTGGTAGCGTTGATCTGTGTCAGGGTGGTTGCGGAGGCTCTTTCAGTGAAAGCGCCTCCGCCGCTGGTGCCAACGCTGCTGCCTCCCACCCCGTCGTTGCCTCCTCCGGCAGTTGGAGGCGGAGTGGGGGCCACGTTGTTCCCCTCTGTACCACTGGAAGTAGACCGCGCGTGGTTTTTATTAACCGCGACAATGAAGACTCCGGCCGTCGTAAGAAACGCGATGAGAACTATGGCCCAGAGTGGGAGACAGGGAGAACTGCGAGGAGACGGGTTCAAATGTTCGGATTGTTGCAGGAGGGTGTCATCAACTTCAGATCCTCCTGCATGACAAGATTTGGAATTCTTCGAGCCATCGCGGTTCTTCGAGCCATCGTGGTTTTGATGCTTTTGCTTTTCTCCACCCCGCCCCAACAAGAAAGGATCTTCGTCTGCATAGTACCGATGCTCTGCTAGAATCGTTGTTTGGGTCATGATCGTGTTTTTGATTTTTTCTTCACTACCTCTGGGAAAAACCCAACAACATTCTAAATGCCTCGGAAAAGTTAAAGTTGAAGCTCTTGCTCTAGCTTCCCGCTTCTGAAATAAATGCACTGCCGGCGAGGTTTCCCAGTATGCTGCATTGATGTTGATCGTGAGCGCCATAAATTAATTAGCGAGTCAAAGAAATAGACGTCCTCCTGTGCCTTTCTTGGTATCTCTCAGCATTTTTTTTGCCATCCTCTCAGCATCTATATCCGACCATTGGTTTGCGTTTGAGTACTCATCATCTTCGTCACCGAATGTCTACTGGATCAATCTCTAGAACAGATCTAGGCACTTCAGATTTGGGTCGCGACACTCTGACCGAATACTTCTAGAGCGGTTTTTATTTTCCGATCCAAACTGGCCAAGCTCAACGCCTGGACGAGACCGTAGCCAGGTCGTGGTCGCTCCTACTACTGATCATCTTCCAGCAATAAGGAGCCTTCGCCCCAACTCGATATCGCTCCAATAAAAACGACCTCGTGGCTCGTTCACGCTCAAAGGTAAGAACACATAGCAGGCCTTTATGAAGATGCTTTGTATCTTCACTTCAATCATGAAGAGGAGGAGGAGGAGGACACCTCTATAGTCAGCTTCTAACTACTAAGCTACTCTCTTTTTTAAGCTAACCATAGGACATGTTTCTGAGGACGACTAGCCGAGCTGGGGATAGGTTTTTATGGGTATGGGGTATGGGTATCTTTAAGAAATAGTCTTTTTTTATCATCCGCGCAGATGAATACTTACGCAACAAACCAAAACTTCTTTTCAGCGTGTCACATTTCCCGGTGATGTGGGGAAATCTCCAAAATGGACACGCATCATTTTTCTTGCGTTGTCAAAACAATCAAACTGAATCTGAATACTAGCTGCTAGGAATCAACAGCTCACCTGCCAGAAGATTCAATTTGCTCACGTCTCCAAAAATAGTGATCTTTTTTGCACAAGATGCGCGAAGCTCTCTGAGCAGCAGAGCGAGAGCCCCGACAACCGGCGCGCTGTATCTTTTACCGATACTTACGTAAATAAACCGTAATTATACACGATTAGAAAAATAACCTAAATCATACAATTTAGAAAGCTCTACAAGTACTCCATACACGGGGACGGGTAAGTTGTGGAAGATCATTATACAAGAATTGCTCCTCCCCTTGTTCAGTCGAACCAAGACGAACGCAGAAAACCTAGCTCCATAATCAAAACATTTCTTCTTGTTTATCAGTCTTCACCTTTGCCTTTCTTGAAACATCACTCAATGAATACAATACCTAGGAAAAATCCAACTTTGTGTGTTAGTGTTAGTGTTAGAACATGTACATGGCACAGCCCGTAGCTGTCCGCTCAAATAAATCTTATCCCTGCTCAAATGTAGTTTAACAAATGACAAGATTTCAATGTCTACGGTGGAGAAGTGGTGATGTGATCGTACAGCTTTCTGGCCAAAACCTCACTCCCGCGCGAATTCGGATGCAAATTGTCGTGCTGGTTGTACAGGTCGGGCGTCTCGTCTCCGCGCAGCACGTCATTGGTAGTCAGTGTCGTGACGCTATGCATTGCAAAAGTATCGCTATCGTGCTAGCAGTCGTGGCTGTTGCATAATTTTCGCCAAATTTATTTCTCCAGTTCCTGAAGGGCTACCAGTTTGTACGTGCGGAAGTACTTACCGATGAAAAAGGACAAGGAGTAGGGCTGTCATGCAACGTTGATGCAATAATTAGTACGAGCCCGATAGAATTACTTTTACTTTTGCAGAGGATAGATGCGGATCCCTTGCAATTCGGGGTTTCCATTCTGAATTTCGTTCAGTGTATCGGTCAACACCGGAAAACCTTCGCGGAGCAAGCTGAGATAGAATTGGTTTACAATGTAGGTCCCGGTCGAGGCCAGAAACGTGCTCCCGTATAAAGTTGAAAAGTGCTCCCACCACAGAGTGTGGAAGTGTTATTCTTGTTTGCTCCGCAAATTATGCAAACATAACTGCCAAAGCCAACACAAACATCTCCCACATTCTTGCACGCACCAGAGAGTGCGGACCAATTTGCAAGCCGAAGTAGCGCTGAAAGTCTGTGATCTGTGCTGCATAGCGCCACAGCGTCAACGATGTCTGTCATGTTGAAGTTGAGTCTGCATAAATGGCTTAGATAGTGATAAGTACTTACCAATAAATGCGTCGCATTCATCACTTTACGGAATACAGAAAGAAGTTTCCGTGTCAAAAAATTGCAACGCGAGCTACTGCTATTTGGTCTTCTCGTGGTCGTGGTGGGGGGGCACTTTTCATTCTAATATCCCGACCGCGTTGGCGATGTGGCCTCGAAAGTAGCCTGCGCGCGTCCTAGGAAGCGAGAGGACGATGATGTCCTTCGGTTTTTTCTTCTCGGTCAAAAACTTCAGATACCTCGGAAAATTTTCCCGCCACAGAGTCCGGTATGCGTCGATGAATTCTCGCTTTAAAGATCCACCCAAAAGTCCGCTGATGATCGCTTGCCGGCTTTTCCCCAGGAGAACTTGCTGCAAGATACTTTGGTGTAAGTCATTGCCCGAGACGTGCACCACAATGCGGTCGTGCTCCGTCACGGTGTCCCGAATCGCGACGTCGTTTGCGGGGTTGTTTGGACCGCCTGGGACGGAGCGGTCTCTCAGCGTAGAGCCCGCTTGCGCAGCCATCACGCATTGGGTGGAGCTGGAGTCTCCAGCCGTGCTGTCGTGGAACAGTTTCGACAGGTAATACATGATGTCCGGCTTCAGGTACGGCATAAACTTGTCGTATGTATTCGGTAGCTTGTTCTGCATTTTGTCGTTTGCAGTATCCACAAACGGCGAGACATCCATCCAAGAGTCGCCCGCAAGGTACACGATGCGAGCCGTATTTGATGGCGCGTTTGCATTCAATATACCGCGGAGGTTCGCGACGATCTGCCTTATCAAGTGCAAAAGTGTCTGGGTCTGGAAGATTCTGAGACTTGTCATGCAAGTTTTGCATGGCCGTCCATGATGTCGGTCGTGATTTTTGCCCTAGCATCAGAGATTTTTGGAGGGCTTCTGGATCATGCCTATTCCGCGCGACAAATGCCCTCTACTTCCCGTAGCAAAAATTGCATTCCCTTTGCTGCTCATGCAATACAGATTTTCATTTTTTTGAAAACCAAATGCAGCTGCAGCATCACAAGTTGCATTCTTCCAGAGGACCCAGACACTTTTACATTTGATATGCCTTACGGTTTGCCCATTCGTGCGCTCGTGCGCGTAGTACTGGGCGGCGTCGATATGTGTGGGGGTGAAAGCGCCATTGCCCCCGCCGTTGCCTTTGCCATTAGATATGGATGTGTCAGAGTTGAAATCGACAAAGTTGAAATAACTTGTAATGCATAAGATGGATACCAGTTGGAGGCCCAACTTCGAAGCGGCGCACGACAAATTTCAGTAGAGCCGAAATCCAGTTTGTAATACTGTTCCGGTAAGCGTAAGGAAGACGCCTCTTGTCATGCTACTTTAGCAGCTCTATTTCTAACTACCCCGAAACAGGCTTACAGTCTGGTCCTTTTGCCTACTCTGCAAGACAGGCACTTTCTGCGTTGTATTTTATGCATGATATCATCAAACTATAATTTCAACTTTGACGATTTCAATCCTGACAGTTCCATAGTAGACCGCGCATGATTAACCGCGACAATGACTCCCGCCGTCGCACCCGCCACAGCGCCGAGGGACAGAAACGCGATGAGCACAATGGCCCAGATCGGGAGACAGGGGGAACTGCGACCAGAGGATTCGTTAAATTGTTCGGATTGTGGCACGCGGGTGTCATCAACTTCAGCTCCTCCTGCATGGTAAGTTTTCGACTTTTCTTCATCCCGTCCCAGTAAGAGAGGATCTTCCTCTGCATACGACCGAGGCACTGCTGGAATTGTGTTTCCGGTCATCGTGTTTTTGTTTTTGATTTTGATTTTGTCTTCACTTCCTCGCCGGGTCAAAAGTGAATAGCGTGTGCGCTCCTTCAGGTGAACGGGAAAAATGATAAGAGAAATACAATATATAATAAGCCTAGAGAAGTAAACTATAACCTAGGCACTTAGCTGAACGAGTACAATTCTTCTTTTGAAGTTTTTGCTTCGGGAAAGCAGGAGTTGGAGTTCTAGCTTCGTTCCTGCTAGTATAAAAATGCACGCAAGATGAAGTGGTCAAAACTATAAATAGAGGCTCTTTGCTATTCTACGATACTAGCTGCTGCTGTACAAGAAACTACTACTTAGGCTGATGTTCTACCGTGGTCAAAAGAGGCGGACGCGGACTGTGCCACTGCTATTCACATTTTTCTTGTACACGATCAAATGTCCTCCGGCTCGCTTTTGGGCAAGCATACACTTCTACATTGGGTTCTTTCAACGTTTTGATGCGACTTCTTCGTAATGAAAAATTCTCGAAAGAAATGATCTTGCTCAGAAACAGAGCTGATGTGCGCTCCTTCTAACTTTGTTGCAAGGTGAACTAGAGCGCACCAATGATCCAGTGAACTTCTACGTCAAGCCTTTCAAGATCATGAAGAACGTTTGCAGATGAGCTTCGTCTTGGTTCTTTATTTGGATCTGCGAGACAGAGCGATGATGAAGCGGATCTGTTCTGGATCTTCACAGGCGAGTATGACTGCCGTCAGTTCTGTTTTTGACAGATTTGAATACAGGGACAGCCACAGTCGTAGTGTGATGAGTTGTAGTTGATCTTCCTTCAGTAGTTCATGTGATCATGCCAAGGACAGCACGCGGAATGGAAGAGCGCGTCTGTCCTCGCTGTTTCTGAAAACAAATACCACGCCGTCCTCCACACAGCCGCAGGGCACAGGACAATGTCAGACAGAGGGTCCTCGTCAACCATTTTTTGTCTTTTTCATGCGTTTCCCCTCCTCTTAGTATCTAACTATATCTTCCGGCCATTGGTTTGAGTAATATTCATCACCGAATGTCTACTGGATCAATCTCTAGAGCAGATCTAGGCACTTCAGATTTGGGTCGCGACACTCTGGCCGAATACTTCCAGAGCGGTTCTTTTTTCCCGATCCAAAATGGGCGAGCTCGACGCCTGGAGACCGTAGCCAGGTCGTGGTCGCTGCTACTACTGGTCATCTTCCTGCAATAAGGAGCCTTCGTATCGCTCCAAAAAAAACAATCTCGCGGCTCGCTCACGCTCAAAAGTATAGAACACATAACAGGCCTTTATGAAGATGCTTTCTATCATCTAAAGAAATAGCTCTTTTCTTCACCCGCGCAAATGAATACGCAACAAACCAAAACTTCTTTTTAGCGTGTCACATTTCCCGGTGATGTGGGGAAATCTCCAAAATGGACACGCATCATGTTTCTTGCGCTGTCAAAACAGTCAAACTGAATCTGAACCCTAAGTAGCTGCTAGGAATCAACAGCCCTGCCAGAAGATTCAATTTGCTCAAGTCTCCAAAAATAGTGATCTTTTTTGCACAAGATGCGCGAAGCTCTCCGAGGACCAGAGCGAGAGCCCCGACAACCGGCGCGTTGTATCTTTTACCGATACTTACGTAAATAAACCGTAATGATACACGATTAGAAAAACCTAAATCATACAATTATAACCGCTCTACAATTATACACGGGAGGTAAGTAGAAGATCATCATACAATAATTGCTCCTCTTCGCCATCGGTTTCCTCGCCCGCCAGCGGCGTAAGTAAATTTTTAAGCTCGTCCTTCAGCGCCGCGCTTATCGCGTTGTCCTCCGAATCGGGTCGGCGGTTTTGCGTGTACCGCTCGACCTTCTTCCGCCACTTTCTCCCGTCCTGGGTGGTGTAGAGCGTGGCGTCGGTCGCATCTTCCGACCGAAACAAGACGAAAGCAGAAGACCTAGCTCCATACAACATTTCTTCTTGTTTATCCGTCTTCACCTTTCTTGAAACATCACTCAATACCTCGGAAAAATCCAACTTTGTGTTTTAGTGTTAGTGCTGTTAGTGTTAGAACATGGCACAGCCCGTAGCTGTTCTCTCAAAATCTTTATTCCTCCTCAAATGTAGTGTAACAAATGATAAGATTTCAATTTCTACGGTGTAGAAGTGATTATGTGATCGTACAGCTTTCTGGCCAAAACCTCACTCCCGCGCCAATTCGGATGCAAATTGTCGTGCTGGTTATAGAGGTCGGGCGTCTCGTCTCCGCGGAGCACGTCATTGGTAGTCAATGTCGTGACGTTATGCATTTTTGCAAAAGTATCGCTATCGTGCTCGAAGTCGTGGTAATTGCATACATAATTTTCGCCAAATTTATTTCTCCAGTTCTTGAAGGGCTGAATTTGTACGTGCGGAACTACCGATGAAAAAGAACAAGGAGTAGAGTTGTCATGCAAGGTTGATGCAACAATGAGTACGAGCCCGATAATGCAACTTTTGCAGAGGATAGATGCGGATCCCTTGCAACTCGGGGTTTCCATTCTGAATTTCGCGCAGTGTATCCCTCATCACCGGAAAACCTTCGCGGAGCAAGCTGAGATAGAAAGCGTTCACACGCGACGTCCCGAACGTGGTCAGACGCCCGTTCCCGCCGTATCAAATTGAAAAGTGCTCCCACCACAGAGTGTGAAAGTGTTATTCTTGTTTGCTCCGCAAATCCAAATTATGCAACAATAACTGCATCAAAACAAACATCTCCCACATTCTTGCACGCACAAGAGAGTGCGGAGCAATTTGAAATCTGAAGTAGCGATGAAAGTCTGTCTGTGCTGGACAGCGCCACAGGCACACCATAAACGCTGTCGGTCATGTTGAGTCAGCATAAATGGCCTAGATAGAAGTGATACTTACCAATAAATGCGTCGCATTCACTTTACGGAATACGGAAAGAAGTTTCCGTGTCAAAAAATAGCAACGCAAGGGCAAGCTGTTTGGTCGTCTCGTGGTCGTTACGGGAGGGTGCGCTTTTCATTCTCATATCCCGACCAGGTTGGCGACGTGGCCTCGAAAGTAGCCTGCGCGCGTCCTAGGAAGGGACAGGACGATGATCTCCCGCGGTTTTTTCCTCTCGGTCAAAAATATGCATTGCAAAAGTATCGTACTAGTATAAATCGCAATACAAATTGCCTCAGCATTAGAAATGGAATTTGTGATGCTGTTTTACATTAGGAAGAAGATTTGTCATGCATATTTGCAATTACTACGAGTTCGAGTGCGATACTTTTGCACAGGATAAAAAACTTCAGATACCTCGGGAAATTTTCCCGCCACAGAGTCCGGTATGCATTGATGATTTGTCGCTTCAAAGATCCACTGCCCCATTCTCCGGCGATCTGCGACCAACTTTTACCCTGGAGAACTTGCTGCAAGATACTTTGGTGTAAGTCATTGCCCGAGACATGCACCACGATGCGGTCGTGCTCCGTCAGGGTGTCCCGTATCGCGACGTCGTTTGCGGGGTTGTTTGGACCGCCTGGGACGGAGCGGTCTCTCAGCGTTGAGCCCGCTTGCGCGGCCATGACACATTGGGTGGAGCTGGCATCTCCAGCCGTGCTGTCGTGGAAGAGTTTCGACAGGTAATACATGATGTCCGGCTTCAGGTACGGCATAAACTTGTCGTACGTATTCGGGAGCTTGTTCTGCATTTTGTCGTTTGCAGTATCCACAAATGGCGAGACATCCATCCAAGAGTCGCCCGCAAGGTACACGATGCGAGCCGTATTTGATGGCGCGTTTGCATTCAAAATACCGCGAAGGTTTGCGACGATCTGCCTTACGGTTTGCCCATTCGTGCGCTCGGGCTCGTAGTACCGGTCGGCGTTGATCTGTGTGGGGGTGAAAGCGCCATCGCCCCCGTTGCCTCCATTGTTGTCTCCGCTGGTGCCTCCGCCATTGCCTCCGCCATTGCCTCCGCCATTGCCTCCGCCATTGCCTCCGCCATTGCCTCCGCCATTGCCTCCGCCATTGCCTCCGCCGGTGCCTCCGCCGGTGCCTCCGCCATTGCCTCCGCCGGTGCCTCCGCCATTGCCTCCACCATTGCCTCCGCCACTACCTCCGCCGGTGCCTCCACCATTGCCTCCGCCGGTGCCTCCGCCATTGCCTCCGCCGGTGCCTCCACCATTGCCTCCGCCGGTGCCTCCGCCGGTGCCTCCGCCGGTGCCTCCGCCGGTGCCTCCGCCGGTGCCTCCGCCGGTGCCTCCGCCGGTGCCTCCGCCGGTGCCTCCGCCGGTGCCTCCGCCGGTGCCTCCGCCGGTGCCTCCGCCGGTGCCTCCGCCGGTGCCTCCGCCGGTGCCAACGCCGGTGCCAACGCCGGTGCCTCCCCCCCCGTCATTGCCTCCTCCGGCAGATGGAGGCGGAGCGGGGACGTTGTTCCCTTCTGTACCACTCCGCGCGTGGTTAACCGCGACAATCACTCCCGCCGTCGTACCCGCCACAGCGCCGAGGGAGAGAAACGCGATCAGCAGTATGGCCCAGAGTGGGAGACAGGGGGAACTGCGAGCGGAGGGGTTCAGTTGTTCGGTCTCAGCAGCTTCACCAGGTCCTCCTGCATGGTAAGTTTTCGACTTTTCTTCATCCCGTCCCCGTAAGAGAGGATCTTCCTCTGCATACGACCGAGGCACTGCTGGAAGTGTTTTTCCGGTCATCGTGTTTTTGGTTTTGTCTTCACTTCCTCGGAGAGTAAAAAGTGAATTGCGCCGTGTGTTCTTCTTAAGGTGAGCGGGAAGAATGATCTTTAGCGGAACGAGTACAATTCTTCTTTTGAAGTTTTTGCTTCGGGAAAGTAAAAGTTGGAGTTCTAGCTTCGTTCCTGCTAGTATAATGCACACAAGTAGTTGTGGGCAAAAATATAAATAATGCTAGAGGTTCTTTGCTATTCTACGATACTAGCTGTTGCTGTACAAGAAAGTACTACTTAGCTTGCTTTTCTACCGCGGTCAAAAGAGGCGGACGCGGACTGTGTCCCTGATATTCACATTTTTTTTGTAGAAAGTCAAATGTCCCCCGGCTCGGCTCCGGCTCGCTTTTGCGCAAGCATAATCTTCTTGGTCGTTGGGCTCTTGCGACGTTTTGATGTGGCTTCATCTTCCCATGAAAAATTCTCGATAAAGATGATCCCGCTCAGAAACAGAGATCCTATGCGGTTTATTTTACAACTTCGTTGCAAGAACGAACTAGAGCGCAATGATCCAGTGAACTAGATCAAGAAGAACCTTTTCAGAAACTCGTCTTGGCTCTTTTGGATCAAGATTTACCTGCGAGACTGAGTGATAAAACGGATCTGTTCTGGAACTTCACAGGCGAGTATGACTGCTGTCAGTTTTGTCTTGATGGATTTGAATACAGGCACAGCCACAGTCACCGTCTGATGAGTTGATCTTTCAGTAGTTCATGTGTTGCAGATGCCAAGGATGCGCGGAACGAATGTAAGAGCGCGTCTGTCGTTGAGCCGTGGCTATTTTTACGACAACAATTACTACAGCCTGAGATCATCACTCTCGATCTTTCAGCTGCTCATGTGACGCTGATAACGTCGCGCGGACGGCAAGAGCGTGTTTGTCGTTGTTTCTGAAAACAAATACCACGTGGCCCCCCACGCATCACGAGCCTTCGCAGCAGGAGAACACTTTCAACAGACAGAAGGTCGCCAAGGGTAGTTTCTCGGTCTTTCTCTTATTTCTTTTGATGTCCATGAAAGAATTTTTCGAGCATGCTGTAGATGTTGTCCATTTCGGTAAGAATAAGTAGACGTACTTAATATTATTTAAGTAAATGCGGAAAATAAGATTCGCGATCGCGTGCGTGAATGAAGTTTCAAAAAAAAAGTACAAATACTGAATTCTTGTTGACCTCCAAAAGCGTCGTGCTCATGTCTTTTATTCCCTTCGTTCAGCATAGTGCTGTCTTTTGGTTAAGAAGTTGCACCCCTTTAGAAGTACCCAAGTGTTGGTCTCTTTCCATATATGAAACAAAAAAGTAAAAACCAATATCAAAAGTAGATATTGCATCTTCATCATGATGCCCGCCCTGTGGGACGACTTTTAATCCTCCCGCTACTCCTCGTCGTAATTTTCAAAATAATGCAGAAGGAAACCCACTATCGTGTCGCGCGTATCCTTTGCCACCTCCTCACATTGTGTGTTCGACAGTCTATTAGTTTCATCCGCTTTCTGTGCGTGAGGCCAGTGCCCCCCATTCGGCACGAGGTAGTGCATGACGGTTTCGAATTTCTTGTGCGTGTACAGCTTTCCTTTTCCCTTGTACATGGTCTCCTTTTTCAGGGTTTCCACATCCCGGTGTTCCATGACGCGTGCGTAAGCGTTAAACCATCGAGGTATGCATTGCAAATATGTCTGGGTCTGGAAACTTGTGATGCACGTTAGTCATATAGCAAATGCACAGCACTGTAATGCGCGGCCAAGCATGACAACGTTTTTTTGTGCTTCTGTGCTACGTATTCCGCATGAGAAACTGCGTTTTTGCATGACAGGGAAGAGGAGCGCTTCGCGGCCACGCAATACAGAGCCAGGAGTCATGGTGCCAGAACAGCATGTATCCTGTGCAAAAGTATCGCACTCGTATTGCAATCGTCGTTCGTTCGTTGTGGATCGGCTCTGCCGACCGGGTAACCCAACGCCTTACATATAAATGACCGACTTAGGCGAACCCCGTTGCGGGCATACAAATTGGCCGTACGGAAGGGCCCTAAGCGCTACATACATAGTTCACCCTAAGCGCCTACCACTTCGGTCTGGGACCTCGTCTACCTGATCCTGGGGGTCCA